TAAATGAATCAAGGGAAAAGTAAAGTCATTCATCCCTTCGTTTTGTTTACCGTTGACTTCCCTTCCCCCCCCCCTCAGGCCCCTCGGCGCGCCCCGGGGCCTCCTGGTCGATGGACAGCGGCTCTGACTCCTCCCACCGCTGGTCGGACACCCTCAGCATCGACGAGAAGGACGGCTTCGTGTTCGTCAACTACTCGGAGGGCCAGACCAAGGTCCCCCACCATCACCCCCACCCTCACCACCCCCACCTGGGCCACCCGGGCTGCGTGGCGCAGCCCCCCAGCGTGGACGCGCGGACCTACAACCAGCTGAGGGCCGGTGAGTGATCGGGGGGTGGGGGGGGGGGGGGGAACCCGAACCAAAGCGCGTGCTGACCCGGGCTCTTTCTGCACGCTCTCAGGCTACAGGTGGGAGCGCCAGCTGGTCTTCCGGAGCAAACTCACCATGCACACGGCGTTCGACCGCAAGGACAACGCCCAGCCGGCCGAGATCACGTCGCTCGCCATCTCCAAGTAAGAGACGCAAGCGTGCGTCTTCTCCCGCGTGCGTTTTATGCGGCGCGTTCGGCGTTCTGACGTTTTCAGCCCGGACTCTCGTCTCTCCTCAGGGACCACAGCAAGATCCTGGTGGGCGACGGGCGCGGCCGGGTCTTCAGCTGGTCGGTGAGCGACCAGCCGGGCCGCTCGGCGGCCGACCACTGGGTGAAGGACGAGGTGGTGGACAGCTGCTCCGGCTGCGCCGTTCGCTTCTCCCTCACCGAGCGGCGCCACCACTGCAGGAACTGCGGGCAGCTCTTCTGCCAGAAGTGAGTCCGTCTTTTGTTTGTGTTCAATAAAGTGTCTTTATTCTCCGCCGGGACAAAACGTAACGGAAATAATGAGTGTGTGACATCGTCTCAAGAGAAAAGACTTTTGTTATCTGGATATTCTATATAATATAAGTCATTACTTTTAGAAAGTTTGTTATTTATTGGAAATGTTTCCATTCCTCTGAGATACTGAATCAATATTGTTTTCTAAAATGTCTCTTATTATTTGCAGGTCTATTTATTTCTGGCTACTATTGACTATTTTGAGAACATCTCAACATTTCCTTTACTACCAAGTCGTTATTTCAAAGTCTTTTTGGTATTACGTCATTTTAAGAAGTTGTCCAGTTTCAAACTGCGATGACGCGAGTTTCCCGCCTGCTCTCCCTGCAGGTGCAGCCGCTTCCAGTCGGAGATCAAGCGGCTGAAGATCTCGTCGCCGGTTCGAGTCTGTCAGAACTGTCACTACAACCTTCAGCACGAGCGCAGCGCCGAGGACGGCTCCAGAAACTGAGCCCACCTGAGGTGCCCCCCCCCCCCGCTAACCTCCCGTACGTCCAGTAAACACATGAACTGTAAGACACTGACGGAATGTCTGAGCGAAGAACAACGAGGAAATGTATTTAAAAACACAAGACAGAAGCTGAAGCACCACTTTTAACCCCCCAAAGCAAAGAGCGAGACCGCCGCTTCAATCAAGCCACCGCCATCAAAGAAAAAAAAGCTCCTCCCACTTTCACCACAAGACATGAGAAACTTGTTGATATTGTAAATACTTACCATGGCCTTTTTAATTTTACGAGGAACAAAAACAGAACAACAAAAAAGAGAGAAATATGAAACAGCTAAATGTGTGTGACGAAGCGACGTGACTAACCGCTCCTGGCTTTAAACAAACAAACAAACAAACAAACAAACATGGCTTGTGCGTCCGTGTGTAGTGTCGAGTCGCGTCCAGAAGGGAAACATGAATGCGAGTCTGGTTATGCAAAACGACTTCTATCATTTCCTGATCCTTTTGTCGTTGTTGTTGTTTACAAAGATTATTTTGTGCGTGTTGCCCACAGTGTCGAGCCATCGCAGAGAGATTCATGATCACATTGTTTTCTGCCAAAATGTTTTAATGTATTTTTGCTTTTAATCATGTGTTCTCTCTTTTTATATGAATTCCCGTTTTGGAGATTTTGTTTTTTGTTGTTGTTGTTGTTGCTGCTGTCTGAAGACACGTTATCATTCTACCTTTTATTTCGATTGTGCGTTTGAATCATATCACTCTGTTTATTCTGAGAGGGAAGATCGTCACGGATTAGTTTCTCAATGTTGCACATGTTGTTTTCAAAGCGGCTGCTTTTGAACGCACACTAAAAAGGGACTTTGTGTAAATCCTGCTGCTGCTGCTCTCTGTTCACGTTTGCCGCCTGCAGATCAGATTATTTCAGCTCCGTTTCTCCTCAGTCCTTCATAGAAGAACAACAGAAGCTGCAGCAGCAGCTGACGAAAAGGAGCGCAGATGTAAATAATTATTTAAACCGTTCGGTGACAAAATTTATGAAATTGTAAAATTCCCTCAAACGTCGTAGCTCCGATTTTCAGATGATCCGGGCTGTGTTTGTTAAATGCATCCAGACCGAACTGCATTTCATCTTTTTCTACTGATTTTGAGGTTTGCATTAAATCAGCATCATGGTTTCATATTTCATCAGTAAAGAATTCTGTTTTCCCTTAAAACCAATGAAATAATGAATGCAACATGGAGGCTTCAGTGCTGTTACCCCGTCTCAAGCATCAGGACGTGTTGGTCCAGATGAAACTGGTTCTATTTGGTTGTAAATGGTGATTTACTCGTGGATGAATTTACTCGTGGATGAATTTACGCGGCTTCATACGCTTCTCTGTTTTAAGGTGAATAACGTCATCCATCTTTAACCCCCCCACAGAGCGCATGTTGTTGTGCTGAGCGCCGGCTGCTGGGCGGAATATTTCGATGTGCTCGGGCACGTGTGCCAGCGAGATGTTTTGTTGTGGGTCCTTTGGGCGACACCTTCGCACTCCAGTGCCGCTTTCTTTCGTTCCCAGAGACAACCAGGTTTGTGTTTTGTTGCTCTGCAGAGTCCCAAACATGTAAAAGAGTAGAACACGCTTTTAATATTCCCCCCACACAGCTGTCACAACAACAACAACAACAATAAGGATATGCGCTCTTGTCATCGCCCTGATATCATTGTCGTGTACTGTAATCTAGCGTGCAATCAAGCCCTCGAGCCGAGCAGTCGGCTTCGAGCAATCAGGAGTTCCTTTGCACCTTCACCTGAATCGCAGGATTTTATTCAATGCAGTTTTACGTTGTCATTTTTCTCCGAAAGGTGCATCTCGCGGCAGATAAACGGACTGTACAAAGTATTTATGCAATTATAACTGGTTTTAGACTTTTCTTTTTTAAATGATTATTGCGATTTCAGCAAGTTTTGTTACTTGTTGCATGTCTAATAACACAGCTGACTTTCTGTGTCAGTGCATTGTTCATGTTCTCAGCATTTCTTTTGGTCGGTTCTCTATTTTCTTTTGTCTTTTTAGATGATTTTCTTTTTTTTTCCCGTTTTGTGTATAGAGCCGGAGATCATGTCCCCAACTCTGGGTGGATTTTTGTTCACTTTGTGGGGAAAGAAATGATGAAAGATGGAAGAAGGGTAAATGTGAGAATGTGGGATTTGTTTTGGTGGTCTTGTATTAGACTGCGATACTAAAGTATCTGGTGTGCAATCTGTGATAGATGAATGTTCCTTGTATTTTTGTGTTCACTACATCCTGCAAGAGTAAAAAAAACAGTAACAGTAGAGTAACCCCCCCCCCCCCCTCCTTACAGAAACAATGTTACAATAATGCAATAGATTGGGTACTTATTCTTTTGATTTCATTTCAATAAATAATTGCTGTTTACCACCAAATAACTGATTGACTCATTTTATTCGAAGTTGTCTTCACGATGTGTCTGTTAATCTTTTGTAAATATACAATAATTATATACAAATATGACTAGATATGGAGCACAAAATACAAATATAATTTGTCGACTATCAAACAAAAACATCCTTTCTGATGCAACATCTAATGAACTCCTGATGGAACCGTTATGGCTCATGTTTATTTATTCTACTTTTTATGAAGTAGACCCATTCTGTTATTTAAATTAATGTTATAACTATCAATCTGTCTACGTTCTCAAAGTAATACAAGATACGCGGAAGAAAAATTGCAAATATAAAACTCTGAATTTGATATTGTGTTTCAGCCCTGGAATTGAACACTAATTTGCCAGATTAATTTACAAAAATACAAATACACTGCAGCATAAACCAGAGCTGGTCGACTCCATTGATTAGAGAGAGAGAGAGAAAGAGGGGGGGGGGTCCCCCACAGCAGCAGCAAACCTGTGTGAAGCTCGACAGAGAAACACAGACTGATACCGGAAACTGAGAAATCTACTTCAAAATAATATCCACTTCTTGCGATAGTGGTACATTTGATGAAACTTTGTAATTGCTCGGCTCGTAATTTCGGAGTGAGATAACAATTTGTACTCCATTAATGTTTCTAATGGCGCTACATAAAATACAAGTTTTAATTGGTAATTATATACGGAAGGAATAAATATCAATTTCTTTTTAATGAGGGACTATTCCTCACAATTAATACTTTTACTTATTAAGCGTATCTTATTCTCCCTTTCCTATGTGCCAATGTGGACGCAGTATTTCACTCTTGCGGTTGTTTGAGTAAAGCTGATTTAACATTATTAAGAAGTTGAGTATGTGACAGCAGCTCAAGTTTTAGAAGTTGATAATATTCTATAATCAGCAAAAGCTGTCAGATTAGAGAATTGCAGTAAAAAGCACAATATTTCCCCCTGAAATGTAGTTAGTATTTAGGTTACAAGTTTAGTTTAGTTAGTTTCAGCCCACTAAAGAAGATAATTTTATTCAACTTTTAGATTTATTTTACATTACACTGCTTGACATATTACATGGTTTTATTTATATGATTATATTTTGCCTTGGTTACATCTCCCTCGTTCTTAATGTATATTCCATGTGTTATAAATGATTCAAAATAAAAGCGATTTCAGTGGTTTTACTCTGAAAGTCTCCACCGGAAGCCGCGCGCTCTTACTTTGTAAAGCTGGACTGCGGTGGGCGGCGCGGATGACCGGGACTGCGGAGATAAACAAACACACGCAGCGCAGAACGTTAGAGGCGAATGCGGCGGTTCGACAGCACCGGCTGACTTTCAGGTGAAGCGACACCGAGCTTTAAAGCCGAAATCCCCGCTAGAAACGCTGGACTTAAATTACCCCCCTCGCCTGGGAAAAAAAAACAACAAAACAGGATTTGTTTCCCTCCCTCTCTCCCTCCCTCTCTCCCTCACCCCCACCGGACTCGGCTTATGTGACACATTAACGTCCCGGCTGAGCGAACCGAGCGGAACATGACGGAGCTGAGGAAGCGAGGCGGAGGAGAACCGGACGGCACCGACAATGTCAGCGACAGGGTGAGACCCGCCGCCGTTAAGGAACAAGTCGGTCCGGTTTTTTTCTGCCGTCGGCGAACCGGTCGAGCTAGCCGAGCTGTCAGTTAGCAGCGGGGCTAATTAAGCTAGTTACTTACGGTTAGCTCGCTAATTAAGCTAGCGGGTCCGCTGCGGGGGGGGAGAAGTACCGCTACGACGGGCACGCAGACGTCCAGCGGGCTTCTGTCCCGGTGGGAGGTTCGCGTCCGCGTCTCGGCCGGGGATGTCACGCGTTCGATGGGGTTGTTTTCCCTCCGCTGGCCTCGTGAAATGGTCCCGTCGGTGTCCCGCTAACTCACGTGTGTCAGCGGGGTCGTCGTCGGCGTGACAGGTGGATCTGTGAGGTTCGATCGGGGCTCCGCGAGGGGCCCTGTCGGTTCGACGTGCGGGGGCTCGCGTGGAAATGAAGGGACACAGATTTATTTTATTCATTGGCTCCGATCACACCCCCCCCCACCTCTTCATTTGAACCAGTCTCTGCAAACCCGAGATCCCCAAACATCCTCTGATTGCAGCCGCATGGACTTAAATAGACTCTCAGCGCTTGGAGAAACTTGCATTAGTTAAATACAATATGCAATATATTTGTGCTGGAGATCAGATTCCAACTCACACGTGGAACTTCAGAAAAAGCTCTTCAGGCACCTTTTCTAGTCTGCTTCCACTCTTGACCATTTCCCTCCATGCTTTACATTCTTCTCCCTTTTGTATCTCCTATCGTCAGGTCAATAATTCAAAAGTTTGGATTCCTGCTGTACGTAACAAACCATTGTGGCTTATTGGTTGATTCATCGGTTAATGAGCAAGACGTTTTCATTTGTTTTTCACCAGCTTCTTAACTATGCAGATAATCGCTTGACCGTGTAAACAACCCATCAGATAAATGGATTACTCAATAGTGCATCTGCCCGTCGGTGTCCCGCTAGCACTCCGGCAATGGAGACATTGTTTCAGGTTTTATTGTCAATGGGTCGTGTTCGCCGGTGTTTCTGCCATCAGAACATCATCATCCAGCCTGGAGGCAAAGCCGTCCGCCAAATTAATGCATCTAATAAATGATCAGCAGGTGACTTGATAATGGAGGTGCACGCGTTTACAGAGAAGTTACTTCTGTGTGTGTGTTTGGACAGATGCTCGTTTAACTCGTTCCTCCACAGAGCCGACTTTAGACTTCCTTTTGACAGTTTCAAAGCTTGGAGTCGACACCCACCTATCATCACCCCCCCCCCCACCCGCGTAACGTGTGCGCCGTGGTTGAGCAATCCCCGCCGGCCCACTGATCACCGCTCGCTTACAAGGTGTTTTTATAAAACATCAAACCGTCAAACGTTTTGGACCCTGTTACTTTGTTGTCGTCCCTTCAACGACAGCTCTTGGAAGCTCTTCACGAGGCCCGTCGATGAATACGTGATTTAAACCCGTCACGCCGTGTTTCGTGGTCATTGGGTTCCACTCCTGTCACACATCGTGTCCTCGCGTCGCACAGTTAAAACGGACAAAGAGACGCCTTCTTTAGCAAATCAGTGGATGACGTCTGCGTTTGCTTCGCTCCTCGTCCAGGCGAACCTTCGCTATGAACTTCTCCTAAACACGAATGCTGGTCCCGGTGTCTCCGGGACGAGCTCGTTGTCTTCATTGGGTTGGAACGAGATGACTGCTGCTGATGTTTGTGGCCAAGACTCTGCAAACGGCTCCTGGAAAGCTCCTTGTTGTGACTCGTCTGCCGTGATCCGAGTAAACAGACCCCAGACCCGCCAATGAGCGACTTGCGAGTCCTCGTGGCTTCTCTTATCAACCGCGGCTGCTTGTGATTGGAAGGCGAGTGCCTTCTTTCTTCTTCTGAACCAACACAGCTCCTTTCTTCTTCTTCTTTGTTTTTTAATACCAGAAGGAATAAAACCAATTGGGATCCATCCAAAGGAGGTATGAGCACATGTTGTGTTCTACGTGAGCATCTTCCCCCTTTCTGAACTTGTGTGCGGTCTGCTGCTGGTGACACCTTCTGTTTGTTTTCAGTCCCATCAGTGGTTTAAATGTGGGAGAAATCCAAACTTTATACCCGTTTATCAAATCTTTATGGCACTTTAATGTAGTTTTGTTTTTCCTTCCAAACACGTTCTTCTCTTTAAGTTAATGTCTAAGATCTTCTGCATTGTTGGTGAAGACCATCATGTCGTTTGCGAGTGTCTTTATTTCAAGTGTTGATTACACTAATATCGGTTATTATCGCTGGACTAGTTTGGCTGCGTCACTCGGCTCTGCACAAAAAGCTTCAGCTGTTTGACTGTGAGGTGGGAAGCGGCTTTATCAAAGGCTCATTTGGCGGTTTAATTGACATTCTGACCCGGAAGCAAATAACTCACCAACTGATGTTTAATGTAGAATAAGAATATTTGTAGAATATTTGCGTTGGTTGGACCCCCTGGTATTAAAACATTCATTTTATTTTTCCTCCCGTCTCAATTCAATCACTAATAAATAAATGTGTTGGGAGACAATCAGCAAATCTTTACGATGGCAGTAGTTCGTTTGGAGTCTCTCCTTGATAAAGTTCTTACTGAAACACGGTTATTCATTAACTCGATCGCACGAGCGTGCTGAGAAACTCCGTCACGTGTGCGCGAGGGAAGAGCTCATGAAGCTCGACTGTCTTACCGAATCCAGACTTAATCAAACTTCAGTTTGCTTATAAAGATCGGGACAGAAATCAGGTGTTTAGGCTTCGGCCTTTGACCGGATTGTTTGCTGCGTCTTCAGAGACACGGACCGTCGTCTCCTTCAGTCGGGATGTGATTCTTCTTCTTCTGCTTCAATCCGAAGAAGGAAGCATCTCCTCATTAAAACCTGAGTGGAAATCTTCCCTCTTGAGCTCCAGCACCTCAGTGACCTCCGTCCTCCTGGCTAATTACGAGCAGAGACCTCGTTTCTGAAGGAAAAAGCGCTCTGATTTCTAACCCCGATGCTCCAGCCGGCCGTATTTAGCACCATGAAAGGGAAAGAAGTGTCCAGGAGCCTCTGGAGTGCAAAGAGGAACTTAATCCCCCACGTTGGCTGTGTGAGCTGCGTTTTTTTTTTAAATAGCCTCTTATGGGCAGAAAAGAAGGCGCCGCGTCGCCCGCTCGGTCACCTGCTGGCGCTCACCGGCGTTCTCACGAGGAGCCGCGCGTTCCTCCGTGGGACGCTTTCCCTTTTCTTCCCCCGTGAGCCCCTTCTGGACGTGCGACGCGACGTGCTTCCATTTAACATCGCCGCTGAAATAAATTGATCTCGAATGAAGAAAGTGGAACGATAACTGTGGCTGAACCCCCGATGGACGGGCAGAAGAAGCCGCTGACCGGGTTCCACCGACTGCCCTCGGCTGCAGATCCTGCGTCAGTCGACTGGCTCTAAATCCAGATTAAAGATGAATTAACCCCCCCGATAAGACAGCCGACTGTTCACCTGCAGGTCCCTCGTCCTCGGGCCTCCAACCGCCTCCTTTTATGGGCTTCCAGGATGTGGTTTGAATGTGGAATATTTGCAATTATGTCCAGATTCCTTTACAACAGTACATTACTACTACTACTACATATTATGTAGTTCTGAATAAATCTCTGGCTTCCATTAACAAACCTCGACCGCCTTGATGCTTCCTCGTTCGCTCCACCAGTCGGCTGATATCAAAGGCCTGTGAATTCAAAGCCAGTTCATGTCTGCAGCGCAGCGTGAGGAGACTTTCCTTACATTCCCCTCCCAGAGAGAGCAGTGGTCAAAGATTTATCCCTAACGTAACTAGCTGGAATGATTTCTCATCCAGCGTCCGGTTTCTGCTCAGCCAAACTACGTTTTGAGTTTGAGCCGCCGCACGAAACGCCGGACGAGAGAGTCGAGACTCTCATTTGACTACCTCGACATTAACCCGTCGTTTGCATCTCGGCAGCTCCCTTCTGTGCACACCGCCATTCTCGCTCTACTCGAATGTCAAATCTTAAGTGGTTATTTGAATATCTATTTGTGTGTGTGTGTGTGTGTCCGGCAGGAGGCCGACGGCGACGAGCGGCTCGGCCTGCAAGGCGACGCGGAGGGAGAATGCGACGGCGACTCCAAAGCGGACACTCCAGATGTTCCGCTCTCCACAGCGGACTCGGACAACACTCCACAGTGCCTGAACAAAGCCCTGGAGGGCCTGCCGCCCAGGTACACACACACACACACACAGCAGAGGCCTGGTCCGCTCTGTCGCACGGCGAGGTGGAGGGCGTCTTGGGTTACAGGTTAAGTAGGTCAACGTGCTCCAGCTCCTCCGTTTCGATGCAAGTGCAGACCGTGCAGGTCAGACTGGGCCTCGCGTTTCAGCCTCGCCGACGGCGCAACGAGCGCCTTCCCCTCCCGTCTGTCGCGGAACGACTCCCGCGGATGAGCGATCGTCCACGGCGTTGTGCTGCCGGGTTTTTGTTTCGACTCATTTCGGTTGGCGGCAGCACGCCGATCACATGTTTGTGTCAAATGCAGAGTCCCTTAGTCAGAAGCCGACTGCGAAGGCGGTAAAGAAAAGCAGTTTCTCAGTTGACGCGCCTACAATTAATCATTGAACTATTACCAGTAACTCATAGACGTGTTTCTCGTGGGCCTGAAGATCAAGTTCTGGGAGAGAAAAGGGAGTGCTGGCAACGCTTTGAGGCGGTGAGAAAGAATATTGATATGTCGGCGTGTCATTGGTGGCTTGTAGGAGCTTTAATACAACACAACTTTTACTGGTCATTTCACAGCATTGAAGCAAAGCTTCTGGGGAAAAACAGAGCAAATACTAAAGTAACTCTTTGCGTGGGACACGTGAGGAACGAGGTCCCGTCCAATGAGAAGGGGCGGGGCGGGGAGGAGGGGGGTGTGACCCAACAGGTGACGGACAGGTCGCAGGACTTAAAAGGCTCACAAGGAGGGCAGAACTAAGCCCGTGTGTCGTCTCTGCTGCTGAGGGGGAGGAAATGGATCACAAGTAGAGAGGCCGACGGGGGAAGATGTAAGATAAGATAAGATATTCATTTATTAGTCCCACAATGGGGAAGTTCACAGATCGCGGCAGCAAAGTGGGCAGTACACAAGACGGCAGCATCATGAAAATGACAAGAATAAAATTAAAGTGAAATAAAAAATTGACGAAGGCAAAGGCCGCACTGAGTACCAGCAGCAGAGGTGAGCAGACGGATGTGGCGAGCAGAGGAGGAGAAAGAGAGGAGCAGACTTTTTGTTTCGATGACGCAGCGGTTTCTCTCCTCCAGTCGTACAGCCGGCTCGCTGCCCCGTTTGGCTCCTGTGCAGCTTTTTAGCCCTTTTTCTCGTTTGTTTTGCCCGCAGCAGCAGCAGCAGCAGCATGACTCTTTAGTAACATTGGTCATTTTCCAGTCTAAAAGCCGCGGCTCGATGACTGTATTCTGTCTTTGTTCCTTGCAGCTGTTGGCAAACTGCTTCCTGCAGCTCACCAGCCGCCCCTTCAACTCGCCCAGTCAGCTGATTCAGCCCTGTATATTCCAACGTCATGGCTTTAGAGCTTTATTCAGTTGTATAACAGAGATACAAAGAGGGAGCCAGACACTGAGTCATACTTCTGTCGTGTTCTTTTTGCCGTTTTTCTTTTTTTAAACTCCTCTCAATTTGAATGACATCTCAAATCAAGTATTAATAAAATGATGAAATATTGATGCAGTAAGTGGAAGTTTCCTGTGTGCGCAGATGGAAGAACTACTGGATACGAGGGGTCCTGTCTTTGGCCATGATTTCAGGCTTCTTCCTCATCATCTACATGGGACCCGTCACTCTGATACTAGTGGTAACTCGCAATGCTTTCATATATTTGTTTTGTAATGAGTGTTGATGCACTGACTCTCTGTTTTCTCGTCGCATTTCTGCTCTCGCCGTCTGCTGTAGGTCATGACCGTCCAAATCAAGTGCTTCCAAGAAATCATCACCATCGGCTACAGAGTGTACCATTCCTACGAGCTGCCCTGGTTCAGGACCCTCAGCTGGTGAGCAGGTCCATCTCACTGCAGCACATGAGCCGATTGTGTGAACGGTTTGCTCTTTTTCAAACCGAACGTTGTATCATTGCCATGTTGGCCGTGAATGCAGAAGTGCGTTGTGTAAGAGTAAAAACGTTGGCCCCAGTTCCGTATCAGAACCAGATCAGAGTTTCCCCTTTTCCCTCAACTCTCCTCCAGGAAAACGCTGTCTTTGTCTGCAGGTATTCACAACACTAGACAAAGCGTTTGGTCCTCGGCTCTCACACACACACACCGACAGCTGGTCGGTGCAGCCGGGGTCAAAGATCGCTGTCATGTTGGAAGTAGATGAAAGCTTATTTAAACTTTCCCCAAGGCTTTCCTCATAACACACACACACACACACACACACACACACAAGGGTCAATGTACAGCCAGTGTGAAACACAGGAAAACATTCAGTGAGACACACCTACACACACACACACACACATTCTGACCAAAGTTCACACACAGAATCGAGGCCTACCCTCTACCTAAGAAGCCCGCCCCATGTGTGGTTCCTCGGCTCGTCCTCGGAGGAGAACTCTGCTGCTTCCTTAAAAGCGTCTCTGAGACGCGAGGAAAGGAGTCTACTGATCCCGTTGTGTGAAACCGAACCGTATTCAAAATGTGCCTTGAGCGTTCTCCTTAAAAAAATAAACTCAAAGAAGGATCTTGCAGGAGCTTAAAGGCTATTGGACGGTTCTTTTCAGAGGGGTCTCTGGACCAATGGGATCCTCTGCCTGCTCACGTCCGTCCCAGCTGTAGGTTGCAAGTTGCAAAAAGCGCTGCAGGTGTCACACATTCACATTACTGCTGGTATGAAAAGATTTGATGCAAAATATAGTATTTCGCATTTGTCATTTTGCTTTGGTTTGTCTTTTACTTTTCCTTATTATAGCCCTTCAGAATAAAAGCCTTTTGTAAACTACAATTTCTCCGCACTTGTAACGAAAAAATAAATCTGATGCCTTCCGTTTGATTACCTCAGGTACTTCCTGATTTGCGTCAACTACTTCTTCTACGGGGAAACCGTTGCGGATTACTTCGGGGCTCTGGTGCAGAGGGAGGAACCCCTGCAGTTCCTGGCGCGCTATCACCGCTTCATCTCCTTCGCCTTGTACCTCGCAGGTGAGCCAATAAAAACGACAACAACACGCGGCCGCTCGTTGGCCCTTCTGCTCCCTCACGTCGCCTTCAACTCTCATTGGAAATGGAACAAAGACTGAGCTCATCTGCTCTTTCTAAGGAGCTTTCAGACCTTTTTTTTTATTGCGCTTGTGAACTGCAGCCAGATGAGCCAATGAAACGAGATGGATCGCTGTACGAATGATTCACTCGTAAGATGTCAATCAAGTAATACGAGGTTCTTCTAACAGCACAAAGGACCAGACCAAGTCTTTTGTATTTTAAAATTGATACCGTATCTTGAATCTGCTGCCGAATAGGTTCAAAAGATGTCGTAGTTTTGTTTAAATGTGCCATGTGTTCCTCCTCGTGTGGGGTTTCCATTCGTGTCGGTACAGACTGAAATCCACAGTGGAGACATTTAAGATTTCAAAAAGATTTGGTTCATCACACGGCTGTACACGCCGTTAAGAATTTGCATACGTTGTGAATGGTAACGGTAAAATTTCCTGATAGTTCCACGAAAGACTGACGTCACCTCGCCGCGTGAAGCTCACTGCGGAGGGATCCGTAACGGCGAGCGGCTTTGTGGTGGTAATGGCTGCTGGAGGGACGGTGCGTTTCTCTCTGGGAGGCGTGAAAGGGAGCTTCTGTCTCCTCCGTCCGAGTCGAACACAACTCTCCCTCAGTGCTGCTGACATTCTCTCTCCCCCCCCCCGACCCCCTTGACCCCCCCGTGTCTAATAAAATTAAGATCTGAATTGTCGAACTCTCTTCAGGCTCCCCCAGGATGTTTGTTTTGTGAAACAGAATACTGAACAGTTCAGGCCGGGGGCATGTCGCCCCCCCCCCCCCCCCTCCCCATGCAGAGGACAGCAAACAGTGTTCATGTGGTTGATTTTTTTCTTTTTTTAATCTGCAGTATATTTTGTTTAACTGACAGCATGTTGTCTACTCTTTCACAGGTTTCTGCATGTTTGTGCTGAGTTTAGTGAAGAAACATTACCGCCTGCAGTTTTATATGGTGTGTATCCGCCAAGTAACCTCCTCCTCCTCCTCCTCCTCTTCCTGTCCATCTCTTTGGTTCGCTTCTTACCTCCTAAATCGTCCATCACTCGCTCGTCGGCTGTTGTGAAACTAGCACATCAGTATGTCAAATGTGATCCTGGATCACATTTAACTCCTTGATCTCAAACGGATTGATAAACGTCACTGAAAAGTGTCTTTACAAACTCTCGGCCTGATATGGAAAAGCCAAATAAAACATCTAAACGGGTTAAAAAGCTTTAAAGGAGTCAGCAGGCAGTTTGTAAAGTAGGACATTAAGATCAAATGTGCTGAGGGAGCACATTTGATCTCTTAAAATCACTAAAAGTGGAGCCAAAATTAATCATCATCATAATTCTACTGCCAATTGTTACCATCTGAGATTTGGTAAAAACGAGATTTGTGATTTTTGGCATTTGTGGCAGCTAGCGAACATTAGCATTGCAGCACCGCTAGCAGGAGCTTCTATTCAGTTACATCGTGATGCGTTCAGGGTCTGTTCAGTAATAACTAGAAAGCGGCAAAGAAAAGTTTTCAAATTCACTTTGGTAAACTGTATTTTTTGGAGATAATAAAATATTATTTCAGAATAATTATGAACTTGTGCTCTAAGCCACTTATAATACATCAAATCAAATATGGGAATATAAGAAATCTGGAGGTTGCTGTAGCATAAATAAACAACACCATCTAAATCAGCCGATATGGTTCATCATGGATCTGCATCATTAGCTCTGCATAAGCTGAATATTTGCTGAACGTGTCCGTTGGTTCTGGGATCTGTTCGTATTATATAATAGTAGATTATAGTCTCTATAATAATGGAGTGAGGCCCTTCATCAGCTGGAACACTCATCACTTGTTATCATTTTTAAGTCCTAATCCTCTTGTTGCATGCAACAAACTTCACAAAATTATTGTTTTTAAAAAATACCCATCAAATTTCACATTCACGCCTCAAATATCCGACAAACTTGTTGTTTTTTTCCCCTCCTGCTGCCTGCTCCTCTCTCACGTCACACCTTTCCCGTCTGCGTCGCCCCCCCCCCCCCTCGTACGTTCCAGCCTGCTGTGCTTCCTGACTCGCGGGCGGCCTCGTTCCCGTTCAGTGACACTGTGGTGTTTTGTGTCTTTTTGTGTTTTTGCCATTCCAGTTTGCGTGGACCCATGTGACGCTGTTGATTGTGGTGACTCAGTCGCACCTTGTCATTCAGAACCTGTTTGAAGGGATGATCTGGTAAGCAGCACACGGACCTCCTTGTCTCTGACTCCTTGTGCCGCTTTTAGATTTATTCGAGGGGAACTTCATTGATATAGACACTCACAAAATTCCTAACACAATGAGATCGTTTTCATGCATTTATTTTCTTTCCTGTAGGGATCTACATTTTAAGCCAGAGACAAACGTGATCGGATTTTAAGGTGCGGTTGTGGACATTCGTTTTTGTTTCCAGGTTCATCGTCCCGATCTCCATCGTCATCTGCAATGACATCATGGCCTACCTGTTTGGCTTCTTCTTCGGGAGGACTCCGCTGATCAAGGTGAACGTCGCGCCGCGTTGTTTTTGATTTGCAGCTGCATGAACAGAACGTGTGAACAACCCGTCGAGGACATTTCTCTTGACCGTCACGGAAACGCGTTTCTTCTTGTGAGGGCTGTTTGAGTAGAAGGTCGGTGGGGGAGTGAAGCTAGATCTCAGATGCAGAGTTGGGTATTAAAAAGAGTTCATCCTTCCTGTTCGGGATTATGTTTGTATCAATAATGAGATCTTGTTTTTTTTTTTTAATCTACTTTTAAAACGTCTCATCAAGTTCAGACATAAAAGTTTTTCCTCTCCGGAATTTACTGCAGTATAAAACTTCTTTTTGCACCGTAGGGGGCTTTAGGAAGCGCTTGATTTGATGTACAGGAGTGTTTCCTCTGAGCCGAGCACCAATTTTACTGTTTGTTAATGGTGGCGCATTCATTCATTCATTCATTCATCCTCTGCCTCCCCCATCTCCCTCCCTCCAGCTCTCACCCAAGAAGACCTGGGAGGGCTTCATCGGAGGGTTCTTTGCCACGGTGGTCTTTGGCTTCATGGTGAGTGGCCCTTTATTTGCCTTCACTCGCATGTGACCACAGGATGCGTCGTTGTGGCTGTCGGCCGTTTTCCACTCAGCCAGTCGGAGGTTACGCAACGCTCCAGTCACACGGCCTCCGGCTTCCGTTTCAACGGAGAATCTCTGTTGGATTTGATTTCTTTTCATTTGATCACGCTGCAGCATCTCGACACACGCGCACCACCTTCACTGTCATTGTTGTTGTTTTTTCGGAGCGTTCAGCCGCTGGAAATGTCCCCGTTTTGTACTCCGTGTTTTAAGTGTTGTCCTTCTTGTTTGTTCGACCCGTCAGCTGGCCTACCTGCTGTCTCAGTTCCAGTACTTTGTGTGTCCTGTGGCCGTCAACAGTGAGACCAACGGGTTCACAGTCGAGTGCGAGCCGTCGGAGATCTTTGTGATGCGCGAGTACACGCTTCCTGCCGTGGTGCAGAATATGCTGACATGGGTAAGTCTAATAAACGTGTGCAGCCACGAAACACCATTCAAAATATGAGCTATGTTCTAAAATGCATACTTATCCTATCAAAGCTTATTAAAAGTGATCTGTTGTAGCATCATACTGTTAAACGCGTGTGCTGGTCTCTCCGTTTAGAAAACGGTGAAGCTGTACCCCTTCCAGATCCACAGCATCTTCCTCTCGGCCTTCGGCTCCCTCATCGGGCCTTTCGGCGGCTTCTTTGCCAGCGGCTTCAAGCGAGCCTTCAAAATCAAAGTAAGGAACACGACTCTCCTCCTCTGCCGTGAGACAATCTGTCCCAAAACATCCTGCCTTTTACTTTCCTACTACTTTTGCCATTTTCAACTGGTGAGTAAACTCCCCAAACTGACTCGAGACCACGGCGGTTATTTTAAGGAGATCTGAATGCTTCGGGAACTGGTTGGACCTCTTTGACTGCTGGGCTTTTGTCTTTTAACCCGCTGAGCGGCGCCACCAGAGAAGAAGAAGAGGAGCTCAGATCGTAGGGCGATTTCCACGTAGCGCCTGCAGCATGTCGCCCCGCTGTGGTGTAACGACGCCTCTCCCTCCCCTGCAGGACTTTGCCAACACCATCCCCGGCCACGGAGGCATCATGGATCGCTTCGACTGCCAGTACCTGATGGCCACCTTCACGCACGTCTACATCGGCAGCTTCATCCGGTAAGAGGAGCTACGGTGAAATCAGAGGAATGTGCCCTTCAGTTTCCTCACTCGCGCTCCACGTGCTCCAATTTCTCATGCATGTTGTAAGTTGCGTCAAACCGCGCGTGTCCTCACGCGCGCGTTGTGTTGCAGAGGGCCGAACCCCAGCAAAGTGCTGCAGCAGCTGCTGATGCTTCGGCCGGACCAGCAGCTCGGCATCTTCCGCACGCTGCACTCGCAGCTGAGGGAGAGGGGCATGCTGCCCCCCCCCGCGGCACAGGCCTAACTGGGGGGGGGGAAAGGTCACGAAGCTTCGCGGGCCGACGAGAGTGTGTGTGAGTCTTTGTGCGTGATTTAGTTCCAGCATGTACACACACACAGACACACACACACTTTTTTTTAAGTTTGGCGCCAACTTCCGACCAGCTGAACATCACGTCTTTGAACCCGAGGCGACTGCATGGAAAATCCTCGCAGTGACACAAAAAACCTACACAACAACAACAACATGGCGTCTTCCTTCTCCACTCGGACCGGACAAGAACTTCTCTTCTCGAGCGGGCGGGCGAGCCGCCCGTCTGAAAGCCAACGGACTGAAGAAGCGTGTCGCCGGGCTCTGCGGCGCCCTGCAGGGAGCCGGATGTGCGTTTCTTTTTCTTTCTTTTGTTGTTTTAAACGAGCTTTTACCAGCGTGAACCGTTGAGATTTGTCTCTCCGGGGCGAAGCGATGATGCAGCAGGTTGTCGGGGAGGCTGCAGACACTGTTTTCTATCCCTTTGGCTCTATTTGCATTACAAACATGTAGCACGGAGACGAGCTGTCGGCTTTTTAGGTCTCTGGATGTGAAACCGCGCGAGCCGGCTGACTCCAGGCACGTTAACGCAGAAACCAGCGCACAAGCACCCGCGTTAATGTACTGTACATACATATAGTGAGGATATTTAACTGAACAAATACCTAATGCATAGAATAACTACTCGTGTGACCTGCTGGGGCGGGGACCCTTTGAAGCTATGAATAATGATATGCAAAAGTAGAGATGTAACCCGTGGCTAGTTTGCCTTTAGCATGAACACTATAGATTTTTACCAAACGGGGCCGGAGGAGTTGCTGCTGACTTGGAGGGTTTTTCCAGGTGAACTTACAGGACTTAAAGGAATAGTTTGACGTTTGGAAAATGTGCTTTTCATTTATCATGGGTGATAATTAGTTGGCAGTAACGGGGCACCTGTAGAAGTCACGAGTGGACAGCGATCATTATTTAAATGATCAGACCTCAGTGTGCCAGTAAAGTGACTGAAAAATCTGAGAGAAAATGTCATTCCGTCTCTTCCCTCTACAATTGATTCCCCCCCCGTCGATGCCACATTTTGGTGTTAAAGCTTCAATGGCTTTAAAATATTTTAGGAAAGAAATCTATAACTTGGTTGTTTTTTTGTTAAAGAGAGATTAGATAATTAAGTTAATAAAGAAAAACTTTATTTATTCGTATATAATGAAGCTGTAAATCTGCAAGGGAACATTTTTTTTGTTTGTAACATAATACCCCGTCCCCAAATGCTTCCTGCATCGTACTCACAGGGCACAGCAGTAGTTTTGTGTGTATGCGGATGAAGCTAAGCTAAGCTAAGCTAACGGCTGGCTAGCTCTGCAGCGCGGTGTAGAAAACCCCATTTCCCAAAATGCTGAACTATTCCTTTGAGAGAAATGTGCTTCCTTTAACAATTTATCCAATGATTTCGGTTGCACTGTAGCGGTTAGAAGTGTGTGGGACGGGGGGCCGGGGGGCCGAGGGGCCGGGGGGCCGGGGCCGGTTAGAGGAGGCGGTTGCATCAAACCACTCCGAAGGTTTCCTCATCCTCGGATTCAATGTTTGTCAAACTGTTTAAAAAAAAAAAACGTACTATTTTTTAAAAGTCTCCTTTATGCATTAAATCACTGTTAAATTATTATATTTTGAATGTAGTTTTAAGATGTGATCACTGACGTCAGACCGGAGGACGTTTCAGCATAAACACCAACATGTGTGTTCACACACTTCTCTGAGTAGAGATACAAACCTGGTGGACGGCGGTTTATTTAATATCATATGCAAGACGTAGTTAGATTCCGTTCTGTAGAATGTGTGTTGGATCATCGACTGGAACCAGAAACCGTGGAAACGCGCCACGGGAAACGTTCACCAACGCACTGATTAACACTGAAGAAAAGCTCTTTGTTTCTGGAATATGAAAGAATGACCCACGAGGTTTCACTCCGATCCTTCCTGCAGGCACTGACGGAGTTCTCATTCCTCTGTCCTCCTCGTTCATTTTAGGGTGTTTTTTCTTTGCTGGGACCAGCTGTATTGTACTGTACAAATAAATATATATATAATATATATATATATATAATTACTACACAGACTGAAGCAATCTGACCAAAACAGCTGATGGTCAAATTATGTATGCGCATAAATCCATATATTTTATTTAGGTTTTGTGGGGAGTCGTAAGTGTGCCGCTGGAATAATTAAAACTACTATGAAGTGCTTTTAAAAAAGCTTGCAAAAAGAGAAAATACTAAAAGTAATCATGTTCTTGGTGATTAAAAGCATTTAAAAAAAATTAACATTTTCCTCTTTACGTTTCATTTCATGATTACTTAGTTGAATTGAATTTAAATAATTTTCAGTCATTAGGTTTACACTAAGATTGATGAATAAATTACTTGATTATTAAAATAGTTGCTGATGATCATTGATCAACTTGTTTCAGCTCGAGTTGGACACTCATGTAAACCGGATAACAAAAGTACAATTTTTAAAATACTTCTGGTGGTCTTTTTTCTAAAAAGCACTATTGATGAATTGTTTAATATTGGTATTATACTAAGTGTATTATTCCATTGGTGCATTTAAGACTCCAATTTTAAAGAAATAGTTCAAATTAGACCAAAGTTGTGTGAACAAATTTATATTTTTACTCTTTGTGAAAGTACACAAACGTCAACAAAGGAAAGAAAAAGGTGATTTTTTTATTTTCTTTTGCCCAAATGTCAGATGTTTGGTCGCTTGTCGTGTAATTTATCATTTTGTGTTTGTTTTGTTTCTGCTTCGAGCCGAAATGTTTTCTTGTGAAAATCGATCGCTTTTGAAGCGGAAAAGATGGAATAAAGAAGTATTTTGTTATTAAAGGGGCAACACAGTCATGTATAAACCACATATTGATATCTATTTAGGGATACGGCAAAGCTGTTTACTGTACGGAGGTGAATAAAGTTTTTCTTTTAAAATCTTGTACTTTTGTTCACTGTGTTTTTATAATGACAAGATGGAGAATTCGTTCACATTTAAGAAATGACTTTAGATTTATTCATAAAACAAACATCAACAGTTTGGGATTTGACATTAAAGAAATCATTTTGCAAAGAAAAGCTTGTCAATACAAATCTGGATTTTAATTAGGTGAAAATGTCAGACAATCTTAGCTTTACAAATCAGGTACACGTAAATAAACACAAACGTCTGTCAATTCATCTTCAACAGAATAAACGTGACAAACTAAAATAATGCCCACTCACAACATCTGGGGTCTTAAATCGTGCTGAAGCCTTTTTAACAGACAGTGACAGAAATGATTTACAAACCTGTAAAAAAAATGATTCATGTTTTATTCTGATCTTAATATGTGATCATTTTAGTTGACATAAATCACCACTGACATTTAAATCAACAGACACGCAGACAGACTGGCCCTACGTACATATAAACATATAACGTGCTATCAGAAGATAACTAATGTAAAAAAGTCAAAGCGTGGACCACGGAAGCCCTGAGAGGCAAAAGTAAAGGATCCGTTTACATTTCTCTCTGAACAAAAAGGGGAATTTGTGTGTTAGCGGTTAATCTGTAGTAAAGCAAAAAGAAGGCTCTTTGCCTCTTGTAGGTAAAATAATTACAACTAAAAACACTTTACCACCAAAACGTTTCTTTCCTGCCATTGTTTTCAGAATAAAAGGACATTTTCAGAAGTGCAATTTTATGGCCGTACCCGTTGTGTTAAATGTTTAAAGTGCATTTACCCAACAGACTGGTCGTCTACAACATTTACATTTGCACAAAAAAAGAGACAAACTTGATACAAGCAAACATTCCTTAAAATTTAAATACTTCTGCTCTTGTGTATTATTTTTCAGCAACATGTGAAACAAATTATCTCTCAAAGAAAAAATGAATAAAGACGAAATTAAAACGGTTGGACGGACTATTCGTGTTACGCTTTTAAACTGTCATTATGAAATCTGCTAACTGATGACCTCACAGGACATAAAACAGAAAATAGCTCTAATGTTTCTGCTCTTCCTGCTTTGAAATCTCATGCTTTGGTCATTTCAAACCTCGGATCTTTTCTTATTTGCTGATCAAAACTAGCATTTTCACATTATATTGGTCCGTTTCCCGCCGTCCCTTATCTGTCTCGCCAATCCCAGTTTCACTGCTTCCATTCGACTCTCACTTTACTTACTTACAGTAACTCTGAGGCGAGCGTCTCAGCAGCATCGTGGCTCCTCCCCTTAAAGCCGGCTAAGTGACTAAAGTGTTGAACGGCACTCTCGCCTCCTCCTCCTCCTCCTCCTCCTCCTCCCCCTCCTCCCCCCCCGCGGCCCTCGGGTCCGGCCCATCGGGACAGAAAAGCAGCCGGAGCAAAGCCACCCCGACGCGCACCAGCAGCCTCAGCACCAGAAAGGCAACGGGCACCGTGATCTCCATCAGGTGGAAGATGGCGGCGCTGAATCTGCTCAGAACGCAGGTGAGGAAGAAGGTGCCCAGGGCCACGCAGGGGTACAGGGACAGCTTGGCCAGCATGAACACGTGCTCGCGTCCGCCGTACCTCACGTACGGGTGCAGGGTTTCCCGCTCGCTGCGCAGGGCGACCACCCAGATGGTGAGCTGGAAGATGCCGGCGAAGAAGATGATGACGCAGCTGATCTGGATGGCCTCCAGCTCGTTGCGCGAGTCGGGCGGGAACTCGTGCGTCAGCTGGTAGGCCAGCGGCAGCCCTCCCACGAACGCCAGCGAGAAGGTGTTCAGCAGGCCCATGAGGCGCGTCGTCTGGGTGACGTGGAGGAAGAGCGAGTGGTGCGCGAACCAGAGGAGGCCCACGGTGGCGAAGGAGCCGAAGTAGGCGAGGTACTCCGGGCCGTAGACCCGCAGCGCCGCCGTCAGGCTGCCGCCGAACTGCTCCCGCACCACGGTGGGGTCCGGGACGTTGTCCTCGCTGAGGGGAAGCAACCGGATTTTTTTTTTTAAACATGCACCGCGCCATGAAGTGAACACGTGATGGTGGTCTCGTTACGCGTGATGGTGGGGGTCTCCTGCACAGCTCGGCGCTTCTGCCTTCTTACCTGCATTCGCGCCGCGTCTACCTGCTGGAGGGAATGAAGGGAAACGCACCATATGTCCAGGATGAGAAGCGTCGCCACGATGGCGTAGACTCCATCGCTGAAAGCCTCCACCCGGTCCTTGCTGAGGGGCTCGTCGGGCAGGTAGGTGTAAAACAACACGGAGTCCGGACTCTCCTGCACTGGACCTGGAACGTCCCAGGATTTTGGTTTGTGTTTTTTTTTTTAAATGCGATGCACATGCAGCGCGCTGACCAGCAGGGGGCGACTCCTCTGGTCCTACACAAGTCTATGGCTTTATTCCCTCAGTGAACGTCGTAAAACGGGAGTTCGTTGGTCTCAACCTCAGGCCACAAACCAACGGTCTCCTTCTCATAAACTACGGTCACGTGACGGGAGTCGTTGAAAAAACGGGGCTCTCACCGATTGCTTTGCTGCGACACCACTTCAGAGACTGGGAGACGTACGGCAGGAAGATGACGACCGCCAGCAGCGCGTAGGACTGAGGGACGAAAAGGTTCATTCATCATTAACGTGCCACGTATGAGGAGATGGAGAGATGCCTCAAAGCCTCCAGCCATCTGCCTAAATAAAGCATCTTCAAACTGGCTATTATCATAATAAACATGTCAATCTGTGAGTTACGTCTCATGAGATCACCGAATTCTCATCAGTTTGTGTTGAATTTGAAGAAATTCACCTTCACCAGAGAAGAACCAGACACCTAAAAGACAAAACGCGGCGTACCAGCTGGAAGAAGATGAAAGAGAAGACGCTGGCGAAGAAGCACATGATGGGAACCCGCATGATGACTTTGAGGATGTGGTGCTTGTAGAAGGTTCGGTTCTCCGAGATCTGGATCTGCTCGTTGAGCAGGAAGGGCCGGCCGAAGGCGTACAGCACGATCCCCGCCTGCGGAGAGACGAGGAGCGCAGGGCTGAGATCACGCCCAGCGAGAGGACAGTAGGTAGGAAATGAAACCCCCTCTGACGGGCTCACCTGGATGACGCCCATCACCATCACGCAGCCGCAAAAGAGTAGAATCCCCAGGACGTTCTCGGGGAAGGCCGCCATCAGAGAGAACTGCGGAGAAACGGAGCTCGGGTGAGCCGACCTTTATCCGTGCGATTGATCGGGCGCCTTTTCAGGAACTCACCGTGTACGGCAGGAAGGTGATCAGCATCATGCAGGCCTGAAACCACAAGCAGAACTTCAGACCAGGAAAGAAGGTTTTTCTTCATATTTGAAGTCGTCACAACCAGAAAGAATGGATATATTTGTTTTATTGGTTCGATAAATGTAATTAACGATGCTGTGGGTCTGTTCCTTTCATACAGGTTGCGTTTAGAAGAGAGAAAGAAAATGGTGGAAATAAAAGTAGTTGAAAAAAGTCCACAAATATTAGGTTGATAAATGTCAGGAAAAAAAATATGTAATAATGAAAAATGTAATTAAAAAAAAGTTTTTTAGAAATTTGGCTAAAAACGTCATATAAAAAATCATAAAACTATAAAAGTAAAAAAATGTTATGTTGAAAAATCTCATGGAAAAAAAGCCAAAAAGTTCAAATATGTTAAAATTGAAAAAAATTGATAATTTTTTATTATTAGGTCAGAAAATATTATTAGGTCGGAAAATAGATCTGTTTGGTTGATAGTTTGGGTTTTACAACCTGTAATTGTTAACTTTTGGACTTCTATAAATGTTTTGATCACATGAGTAAGAAGCATCCGGTCATATCATTATAATATTATTGTATATTTCTAACAAAGCTTTTAACTACCTGGTGCAGCTTTTTTTTAAGTAAACAGCACTGAAATAGGATTTTCTTGTATGCTTACCGGGTAAAAACTACAGATTACAACTATTTTGTTGAGTGTTAATTCTGATGTAATTGTGTAAGAATACATTCTAAAACAAATATGAGAATCAAAGCTAACAAACACAACAACCGCAGCCGATCAAATTATACAAATTGTAAATCTGAGACGCAATAAGCAGATTAAGACAAGACTGCAGACTGATTTCCATAAACCCCTTTTTGTTTTTCAAAGATGTAATTAAACACGCGGTGATACTCACGAGGTTCAGGAGCGCGAGGCAGTCATCGATGCGAACAATGACTTGAAACAACCTGCGAAATTCACCACCGAGAGACGAGCACGAGGGGAGTCACCTTAAAGCGTCTGCAGCACCCTCATAGTAATAATAATGATGAGGGGTGGTGATGACAGTGGTAACTCACCTGATGTGAGCGGCCCACGCGACAGTCACAATCAGGAACGTCATCAAGTAAACGGCGATCTTTGTGGTCAGCAGGAGCTGGACACTCTCCCTCAACTCCTGCAAACGGATATAACATGTCGTTATTATCCCCACAACTCTGTTATTACCGTCTTATTACACAGCTCTCACTGCGTCCGTCTTCACCTCATTGTTTCCCATCTTGGTGTGAGCAACGGGTAATATCTGTGAATAAAAAACAGAGAGGTGTCAGACGTTAAACATCTGTACAGATGTGTGGTTTCAAGCAGACCAGTAAGCCTGTTGTCTAAATGCTGAAGGGACAGTTTCCCCCACATGAACAATGTACTCTTGCCTTTAGTGCTACTTATCAATGTAGGCTGTTAGTTGTGGAGATACTGGCTGTAGAAATGTCTGCCTTCTCTCTAATATGAAGGGATATGTTATTCGAGACAATCATCGGTTGTTAAAAAGCATTAAAAGGCTCGTGTCTCTTTGGCTTCCTGCGAGATAACCAACGACGCGTTGATGATATCTTGTGTTAAAGTTCCCACTGAGGTAAATTGCACGTTGCCCCCAATTCTCCTACGAGACCCTGAACTCCGTGGACACCGGTGACGTTACTGGTCCCCCGATCGGCTGCGTGTGTCGCACCATGACGGTGGCGATGATGGAGATGAGCGCGTCGCTGTAGGCCAGCAGCCGGTGGGAGGACTGCGTGCCTCCCTCCCGGTCGGACGGGGCCACGCTGCCCGGGCGCGAGGGGGCGGCGCGGCTCCTCGCGCCCTCCTTCTCCATCTCCTCCTCGACGTGGTGCTCGATGATCTCGCAGTCGGCGGTGTCCGCCATCGTGGAAGACGCGGCGGCGGCGGCGGCGGCGGCGGGGACCCACGCAGCCGGAGGACTGTTTGCAAACAAACCCGGCAGCTGACTCGGGGGGCGGGGCAACCGGAAGCGGCCGCTGGGTTGATTTCCGGTTTTCAGCAGAGATCGTTGGTTTGAGAGAGACGCACCACGCGGCGCTTTAAAACGTGGAGCGTATTTCTTTCTCCTTTTCTTTGGTGAATTTTATTTATTTTTTACTTTATTTTACTTCCATGTTAATACTATGTTGCGTCTTTAAAAAAGGGCTATGAATACATTTGCTGAATGGTTGGTAAGACATATCACGTGATCGTTCAATGCTAATAAAAATATATATACAAATCAATATTTGTATTCATTTTGTCTTTATTTTTTTCAGACGGGAATTGCATTTATTTATGTGTTATTTCAAGTATTACATATACAGTAAAAACGATATGATTTCTTTCTACAGCGCGCACGGGCTGTCTCCTGTAGACGAACCATCACCTCAATATACGATCGATGACTACGACCCCGTCTTTTTCCAAATGAGCCAAAAAAAGAGTAATTTTAAAGCTTTCAGGTGTCACTGACGTGGCTCGTTGGTCTAGGGGTATGATTCTCGCTTTGGGTGCGAGAGGTCCCGGGTTCAAATCCCGGACGAGCCCATTATTTACCAAATCTTGGTGAGAAAATCCACTACTACTGGATGTATTTCAATCGATAATCTTTATTGATCAGTAAACTTGTCTCTGGGCTGTGTATTAAATACATGCAATTATTCGACAGTCGATGTCGAATACGAAAAAGAAATGTTTTTGATATAAGACCAGTGAATAAATAACGTCATCAAACCAAAAGGAGGTGATGATGAGAAGTATATCCACAAATGTTCGGTCCTATTGGTTTTCTTTTCCTGCCTATACGTGACGCTATTATCTTTCCAAAAATAACGGAGCATTTTTCCCTTTCTGTCGGATTTTGGAATTTAGAATTACGGTAACTTTATTAAAAGTGGACGTTAACGTTAAGAACCGATACAGGAGATCATTCCTGCCCAGTAACACTCTACAATAAATCATCCCTGGCTAAATAATGACAATAACAACCCTGTACTGCTGTGATGTTGCTGCTCTTTCCTCTTCCTCTTCTCCTTTTACAAATTATTATTATTGTCTCTTTTGGAAGGTTATTCTTTTGTTTCAGTTTATTTTATTTTATTTAATAATTTAATATTTCTCTTATTATACTGTATATAATGTGTATCTTTTTATTCTATTTTCTTCCCTGTACATGCTGCTGTGATACCAAAATTTCCCTCTTGAGGGATCAATAAAGTATCAATCTATCTATCTATCTAACCCCTGACCCAGAAACAGAAGACATTGCAGCACCCCCGTCGGCCGCTAGAGGGAGACACCGCCATTTTGGAAAAAATAAAATAAAAACAAAAACCGGAGGATGAGCTGTGACGTCACGACCCAGAATGACCCCCCCCCCCTTCACCGCGTCGTCTGATGATATTTGAATGGGAGAACAGCCGAAACGCACCGGCGACATTTGTACCCTCCGCGTGTCTGTGACATATCGGGTCCGAGCCAAGAGGGACGCTGTTGTTGAAGACCGGCTGACGTAAGACCGATTCTTCTCCCCCCCCCCCACCTCCTCCTTCCCCCAAACAGCATCACCGGTAAGCTAACGTTGGCGGCTAGCATCACCTGGCTAGCTGACGCGGACGGAAAAACGGCCGCTTGTGGGGCCGTTTGGGACGTGGTTTGACAGCCGAGAGGCTCGCGGCGGGTTCGCGCTCCGCTCCGGAGGACCGGGACTCCGCCGCGGAAGCTAACCGCGTGTAGCCGGAGCGGGTCGGGACCGAAGCCGGCGTCTTGTCGCCTTGTTCGCTGGTCCCGTGAGGGGAGTAAAACAGGTGGGATAAAAGGAAAGCGGCCACGGTGAGCGCTTCTGTTTCTGCCTCTCGGGTTGTTCAGTTTGAAGAAACTCCTCCGCTGCGGTTAAAGTTCCAGCAGCGCGCTGTGAAATCCCCGAATCAAAGTGCACTTTCCTAAATTCAGATACGTGGATCCTTTATTCGTATCTGACTGTACAGGAATACACAGAATAAATGTTATTTATTTCACAGTATTCCACCGTTTATTTGCTCTTGGAGCAGAGCTGCTGTTTAGAATCAAAGTAAATGTACCCGATGTGCACTCGAACGCCCCCTTTGATTTATTTTATTATATTTAGGCCCCAAAGTGCATCTTTGTCACTCATTATTGTAGCTGACAATGACAGTAATCTTCCTCATTGTTGTTGTACTGAATCTACAGGTGATTGATAAAGTACGGTGAAAAGCTGTTGTTCGGTGGTGGGAGAAGTACTCCGATCCTTTAAGTATAAGTACTAATACAACACTATGAGAATACTCCAGTCTGAAAGTAAGTCCTGCATTGAAAATGCTACTTCTGTATCAAAATGTACAAGTAAGAGTATTTATTTGTGGAGTAAAACCTTTTGTAAAAGAAGATTAGATGGACCTTCTCAAATAGTACGATTAGTACCCGTTTGTACTGAAGCCCATAAACTTCAACCGGTTCATCTTAAACCGTTCATGTATGTTGTCCATGAATGTCATTAAACGTCGTAGCTGTGTAATTACGCAATGCCAGAAGTACTTTCTGCTTCTATTCAGACCCCACCTGTAATTTTCATTCTGAGCAGCACTGCTCGGCACGGAACAACCGGATCTTAAAATATGACTCACGTGGCCGAAGGTAATCTGTTAAATCAGTCCTGCATTAATCATAAAGTCTTGTAACCACGTTGGCTCGTTAATCTCACATTTCTTTCTAAGATAATATCCTGCCAAGTAACCGGAACTGCAGCAGTGACTATTTAAGTCAAATGTTTAATATGTCTTTATGAAATGTACAAAGCAGTTTACGTTTCAACAACCAGCGCCGGTTCGTGCGGTCTGTGGCCTTCTGCCTCCTGACCTTTTGACCTCTAACCTGGCCTGTGGGTAAAAGCGATGGGCTGACCCAAGCCGAACCCCTTCATTTGGTGGTGAATGGCGCTCTGTTGCTCACTCGGGATGAGCGACCTTTTACGATGCGCTCGGCGGAGCGTGGCGGTCACCGTCTTCCCCTCTAATGACGGCCCGGGTCGATGAGATCAGCCCCGAGGCCCAGAAACGGTAATTACGCTCTGCGGGGTAAATAGCGATGAGTCGATGCGCGGCTTAACCCGCCCCTCGCTCCGGCGGTATATGAAGTGACCCTCCGGGGGGGGACGGGACGAGACAGTCCAGTGTGTGACGACGACCGGACGCTTTGGCTCAAGAAGGGACCAGTGAGGGCCGGCTGCTGCTTGAGTGTCTCCATTCGGGAAAGGTACGACATGCTTTATGCTTTTAGAAGACAAACCAGACTCCAGAACAGCTGAGAGGAGGAACAGGAAGGAGAATACTTTGTGCTGGTGTCCAATTCTGAGGCCCACATGTTCATGATGGGTGTAGCTGATGGAGCTGCACAGTTCAAACTGATCTGTCACCACGAACTCTGGAGGAGAATCTTTCCCTGTTGTCAGATATTTTGAAGGGTTGTGTGGATCAGGAATCCATTCTAAATTCTGTTTTTTTTTACCTGAGAAGGTCAAACTTTGCCTCAATTAGTCTTGCATCAGAATTTATTTTCTTTTATTGCAGCAAAATGGGGTTATTAAGTAGTCGTTGGACCACATCGACCTAAATGCATGACTGCGAGCAGACAGACCTCTGAATACATATCAGGGCTGCAGGTGTTCTGAACCAGGGTCAGTGGGCTCAGAAGATCTGTGGTTACTAAACCAATACCGAGGATGGACGTCCCGGCGGCTCCAGTTCAGTCGAGCTCCTGACCGAGGGCGAGTTGAGTTTAGATAAACGGCCGTTTGCCCTCCGCCTGCGGACTGGAGCGCAGAGGAGAAGTGAGTCGAGTTCCCACGAGTGCTTTGAAAAAATATCACGCGTAGCTTCGCCTCGGTAGAGTTTGACGTTCCTTTTCCGCTCCAGTGGAACATCACTTTGCTAAAGTAGAAGGTGTCGCTGACCACGTGTGTGTGTTCGGTTCCCAGGGGTCCCAGTTTGTACGGTGACACGAATTGTGGGTAAACTGGTCTTTTGGGAACCATGTGGCGGCGGGCGACGCCCCTCCGGTCTTTGTGGGGCGCGTTTGATTCGCCGGCGTCTTCTCTTCCACCTCGTTCTGCTCCGTGGAGCTGCTGATAACCAGGGGACCGTCTGGCTTGCGGGGTGGTGACCCTGATCCACAGCGGGTGACGTAACCGCTGATAACGCGGGTTGTTTGCTTCGCCTGATTCCCCACGTGGGCCCGTTTGCTCGCTGCCACTTGCCGCGCGTTCCTGGTTTATCGCGTGTTGGCCGTGGCTCGAGGGGCCGGCGCCTGTTTGGTCTCTAATCTGCCGACGGCCACTTGCTCACAATCCAAAGCAGGAAAGCCGGGGCCACTTTCTAAGAACAGAGGACCTGACATGCCGAGCTCCGTAGAACCAAGAATGCGGCTCTTTACTCAGGTGAGCGCGCTTCCCCTTCGCCGCCGGCTGCACGGTGCACAGCGCGGCGAAAAGGCTGCAGACCGGCCTTCATCTCCCCGACTATCTAAAGGCTACAAACTTGTAACATTTTATTTTATATCTCAAACTTTGATCACAAGTAAATATATGCATACGAGCGACTAAATAACGATCACAAACGAAAAAAGAAGCACCACCAATAACAATAGGATTATTTTTATCTCCTAGCTAAGTTAAGTGAGCGGAGTCAAACATTTAATTGGAGCTGGATTTGCAAACCTAAACACTTGCGGCGTGTTGATGTCATGTTGGATGTTTTGCTGTTCCCCTCGTGAGTGCTTGTGGTTCACAAGCTAGAGGCCACATTCTAAACCACTGAGCGGTTATTTCCCACTGCAAATACCTTCTGCTCCTTTATCACATCTCACTCGGTTGTGAGCAGCCATTTTTATATGAGGAAATAATAAGGTGCTTATTGACGATGACATTGGCGGACGGGGAGAGCCGATGCGTTTTAAGATGCAGTTTCTGGTTTCTTTTCTTCTTCACTGCTTCTCTTTGTTTTCTCTCCATCCTCTCCTATTTCTTTCCTGATCACCGGTCGTAACCTTTTGCTTTGTCCCCCCCCCCCCTTCACAGTCCACTGCTCCCCTGAGGAGATCCCTGCTCCCTTCAGGCGTCCCCCCTCCCGTCCCCCCCCCTGACTCCCATCACTGCTCCCAGGTGTCCCGTGGGCCTCGGGGCTCGACAGCCGTCATCAGTGGCTCCGTGGGAGAAGGTGAGTTTCTTCACTCCAACATGAAGGAGGTCTGTTTATTCAGCTTTGCAGGCGGACCTCGAAGAATCGCCGCTCTGTGTGCGCACGCCACAGTTGGCTCTGTGTGTGCGTTGTGTGTGTGTGTGTGTGTGTGTGCGCTCTGTGTGGGACCGTCACAGTTAGCTTAACTGGGAGAAGCTTGGAAGCACGATGCAGTCGGAACGCTGACGTTCTATATTCTCTCAACCACAAAGTGTGACTGTGGGCGTTGTGTGTGTGATGAAGGTGTGTAGTTGTAATTGTTAGTGTGCTTTGTGGCAACACTCGGGCCTCTCAGTGGACTGTGGGGGGGGTTTAATTGACCCTTTACCTTCTTAACAGGCCTCATTTGTTTTTTGTCAGTGAGTATTTTTGTTGTTCTCCCTCCACAGACCAGCGTCGGCCAGCCGCTGGAGGAGCCATGCTCACCCGGCCCCCTCGTGGCCGTGCCACTGCGTCCGCCCGCCCCCTCCGGCCCCTTCCCATGTTGGTTTTGGCCGTGGCGGTGCTCCTCTGCCCCGTGGGCCGAGTGACGTGTCAGACGCGAGGTCAGACGCAGTCGCCCGCCCAGGTGCTGCAGGACCTGCTGTCCCGCTACGGGGACAATAGCACCATCTCGGTGCCACAGCTGCGCTCTCTGCTGGCCCTTATCAGCCAAGGTCAGGGGGACGGGGACGGCGGCGGCGGCGTCGTGGCGGAGACGCCAAAGATAAACATGCCTCCCAAATCAAACAGCTCCAAGGTGAGAAAAGGTCCCGCGTTAGCACGTAGATCACAAGAAGCAACCACGTAAAATAAATTAATAGAAATTACTTCTTACTTTTAAAAAGTCCAGCATATTTATTTATGAACTTCCTGAGCTCCTAAATGCTGCCGCTATGTTTGGTTGGTGTTTGCCGGCTCATCTTTATCATCTGGACCAAACCTGAAATACGCCCCAGACGTGGGGAGCGGCATTTCTTTATTTTTATCCCGCTCTAGGCCATCTTTGTCTGCTCCACCAGCAGAGCGGCAGGCCGACCCCTGACGGAGCATCTTGTGTGCTCAAATACAGCCTCAATATGGCTCCTCGAACAGAAGAATGAAATACCTCCAGCTGAAGGTGTGAATCCAGCTTCAGTCCCGCCTGAGAGACCAGCTGATGGCTGGATAGCAGAAATATTTAGCATATTTCCCGTGCTTAGTGTCGTGGCTGATTGACTCACTCGCCGCTCTGCTTTAGATCTGTTGGCAGCAGCAAAGAGGTGGAGGTCACGTGTTGAGTCACGTTGTCGCGCTCCTTTTACAGGCAGCTCATCGCATTCCACGATGTCACTGCTTTCTTCTTACCGACGGCGGTTCATAGAATAATTCGTTTGTCCGTTTCTCCTGTTTCCAAATGCAGCAATTGAATCAACATAATGGATAAAATACCTTTTCACTTTGTGGGTTGAAATCTAAGACGAAGGGATTTCAGAACCCTTTTAAGCCGTTGACCATCGCGTCCAGCTGTCTGTTGTTTTTAATGCTGTCGTTTGAAATCTGAATGATCAGAAACAATATGACAAACGTGTTTGACCCGGCGGCCCCTCTCTTGCAGTGCCTGCCGGCCGACACGCTGGCCGTCTACAGCATCGGCGAGCAGTCGCGCCTGGACGAGCAGGGCCTGCGGGAGCTCTGCCCCACCATGCTGCAGCAGCTGGACGCCGGCACCTGCAGGGGGCGGAAAGAGGAGGAGTCGAGCGCGGAGCCCTCCCCCAGGCCCACGGACGCCGAGGGTGAGCGCTACAAAAAGACCGAAGCCCACCAAGAGGGGACCCTGTTAGAAGTATTGAGAGGCCAAAGCTTGATATCCATAATTCAATTATTAAAGCACATCAATGAGCTGTAAATATGCGTCAGTGCACCAAAGCTTCAGCTGCAAATGTTCCCGTCCGATGGAGTCACCTCCTCCTTTGAGTCCTGAGACAATGAACAGTAAATGTCTCATTTCCTTTCCATTTGTTTTCATCTTTTTGGGGGCTTTGTTAACAACTTTATCCTGTGAGAGGAACATTGAGTGTACTTTTTTATATACTAATGTGATTTGTGTTTGCTGTTGTCTTTTTTCCCCACTCTTTCCTATTTGTTCCGGCTAAGGAGACCTTGAAAAAACATTTTGGGCTGCGAATGTGTGTTTTGTTGCCTACAGGCCGTGATATCACGATGTTCCCAGAGGAGCTGAAGGCCGGAATGAGCACGCTCAGTTAGCCGGGGCTCAGATCGCGTTGCTCAGTTTGTCCTTAAAAAAAAAAAAAAAACGCCACAATCCACAATCCTGCCTCCGTCTGCACATCCGGGACGTGGGAACGCTCTCCTCCCCTCGGTCGCTGACTCGCTGCAACTGCATCCAGGCGGCCGTCCTGGCTGCAGAGCCATTCTGGCATCTCCGTCCGGTATTAACCAGCCTTCCGGGTTAAAAGTCCGTCGTTTGGCAGGTGGAGGTCGGGAAGGGTTTGAATCTCTTCCTCTCCACTGGCAGGTCAGCTTTCTAACCTCAGCCCCCAGCGCGCCTCGCCCTCCCGCGTAGTCGGTTTATTTTGGCATCGCGGCTGTTTTTCTCTAAAAGTGCCACGAAAATTTCGTCTCCGCTGCAAATCCCACTGACTGAAATAAATGATTTAAATTTATTTGTTTTCCACCCGTCTTTCTCCTTAATGAGCCGCGCCCACCTTCAAGGGAACCGTCACAGCGGCCGACGTGCCGCTCCTCCTCTGCTTTGTTCAGCCGGTGCTTAGAAACCCGTTCATGTGACCGTAGCGTGATTAACTATCACTTCCTCCTCATTCAACATCTGCTCGATGTCTGCAGTGAAGCGCTGGAAACTGCGTCTGCTTTCACCACGGCATGAAGGCATCTCACAGCTTGGATGGATCATAAATCTCCTCATTTAACTTTTCTTTTCCCCCCCAAGCTTCTCAGGTGCTGCAGCCTCCCGACTAAAATGTCACAAAAAACCTTCGACGAACGTCAAGAAGCCGTATTTCTTTGTACAGGTGTCAGAAGCACTGATTCCTCAAAGTAAAGGAAAAGTCTACTTGTGAGACGTAGGGATAGACGAGGAAAACTACATTATTATGACATTAATAACGTATATTTTTCAGGCAAGTTTTCACCACATCCATGAGAATATTTTTGCTTCACTAAAAGCTCCAATACATCTGTTTGTTTCCAGTACAGAGATCCGTCATTTTAAATGTGCTTTTAGGGCTCGTTGCATTTGATCGGCGACGCAGCTGAATGACCTCACAGTATTCCTGCTTGCCTTAACGTCCCGCCTCCCTCTCTCATCCAACCTGTCCGTCACTCAAAAACCCTCCAGTGTGGGGCTTCTCTTTCCTGAGTGTGACGGTGATCAATGCCTTCTCCCTCACCGGAGTCTTCATCATTCCCCTGCTGAAGACGCGCTACATGAAACACGCGCTCACCTTTTTCATCGCCCTCGCCGTCGGCACGCTGTTCTCCACCGCCGTCCTGCAGCTCCTGCCAGAGGTTTGCCACCCATCCCCGTTTGACCTTTCCCACAAAACCCCTCTTCATACGCCGAGGGAGACCCTCGGCCCGTTTTCCTCTCCTTCCCTCCTTGGTGTTTCCTCCGGTGTCCTCTGGCTCTAATCAGCGCTCTGGAAGACGTTTTGGTTTCGCTCGACTCTGCAACCGCTTCCACCGACCGCCTCGGCAGCGACTTCCTGTCTGCTCCTCTGGCAGCAAGACGAACGCCGGGTGTGAGAGTCAGTTGAGCTCCTGGGCGATTCCTGGGGAAATGGGGCACAGCGGCCTTAAAGCGACCTTCAAATTAAAACTGTGACCACCTGGTTGGTATTCATGGTCATTCGTGTGTGTGTGTGTGTGTGAGATAAAGTAAGCTGCCACTTCCCCCTGATTGCTTCCCTATCAAACCGCATGGGGTTCAGGAACCGCTCCACAGGACGCCAACGAAAGGGGGCGTCGCTCCGGCGCCGAATCAACGGTCTAACGAGCTCGTCGTCTCTGGTGTCCAATGAAATCAATCAATGAAAATGTTTTTTGATCCATCTGATTTCATTCAATTCTTACCTTTTTCTTTCCAGGGCGATAACTGGTTGGTGTTCTCTAATCTTCCTTTTACCCTGTTTGTGATTTAATGTGACAAAAATCAGCTCTGAACTAACTACTTCTGTCTGTTGTCTCTCTTTCCTCCTCGCGGCCGATCAGTGTGGGGCTATGGGATCCTCTCTGTGACACTGATCTCTCTGTGCTCGCTGGTCGGGGCCTGCGTGGTGCCCTTCATGAAGAAAACCTTTTACAAGCGGCTGCTGCTGTACTTCATAGCGCTGGCCATCGGCACGCTCTACTCCAACGCCCTGTTTCAGCTCATCCCAGAGGTAGAGTCCGCGCGGCCCCGCTTAGTCCGCGGCGCACACGCTCGCTTTGTAGCTGCCGTGACCCGAGGGATGAAGCGCTCTGCTCATATTGAACTGAATGCAGCCGGCTTACAGGACATAAAGAGTCCCAGGTCGCCTGCTGACAGGTGGGCCGGTAGCAGCCGGGTTTCAACCAGCCGGACGGCCGTTGCTTTGCACGTTTGTATAACTCGGTGTGTAGAATCCAAATGCTTCACACTGAATCCTCAAAAACGCCAATAAATAGTGATTGACGTCAATGAATGAGGTGGTGTTGGCGGTTTAGTGACTCTCTGTTAAACTGGAGTGTTCTAGTCGACGCTACGTTCACACTACGAGAGACTTGACGCAACATAAAGGCCGAGCGCCGTCGCCGATGAACTGGCAAACCTGTTTTTCCGATGGAAACTGAACAGTATTAAAAAGTAAAGTAGCTCTATGAAACTATGAAATAGTTTGTCATGTTTTTAACATGATGCGACGTTTTGATTGGATCAGCTCACCTGAGACGTCTCTGCAGTATCTGAAGGGAAAACAAGCGACTCACCGACCTCTTATTGTCCACTTTAGAAAAAAACCGTTTCATTGGTTTAAAAAGCGACGTCAGTCAGAATTGATGCGATTACAGCTACTAAAAACTCAACAACCTGACGCCGTCTTCTCCTCCTGCGATGATGGTAGGCCTTCGGTTTTGACCCCATGGTGGACTTCTACGTGTCCAAATCTGCGATGGTGTTCGCCGGCTTCTACCTCTTCTTCTTCACCGAGAAGGTCCTCCGAGTGCTCCTCAAACAGAGGAAAGGGGTGAGTGGGACTGACGTCATTACACGATGGAAAGAGAACGCATGTCCATGCGATGAACATGTTGCTTCACAATGTGCTAACTTTAACTTTCACTCTGGATTCTTTTATACTAAAGCTTGAGAACAAAGAACAAAAGGTGTTGAATCTGCAAAGGTCTCGATGTATCTTTAAAATCCCTAAATATGAAGATTCCGTATTTAATCATTCAGTATTTGTAATATAAGTTGCATGACCTTTTTTTAAAGTTCCTTAAATCCATGAAAACATGGAGATTGCTTTGGTTTTTCCTCTGGTTTCTTACAACTGGGCCGCGGTGAGTTAAAAGTCTTAAGTTACAAAAGACTTGAAGAGGACAATATTCCTGACCTTTCTTCTTGCTGTAAAGGAAGCCGAGGAGACGACATCCGTTTGTTGTAATGCTCGTCTTTCCCTGTTGAGCCTCTGAGGCTCGACCTCGGATAACACTCCTACAACCCCAAAGAATAATGAAAGACTTCAATGTAACTTTTAATATTTACTTTACTTTACATTTTGAGCAATAGTTTAGTGAGCAATAACAAAAAGAAAGCTCATTTCATCACAAAATGGAACGTCCACAGTAGCACAACACTTAACTCCATCTGCTGTAGCGGTGCGCGGACTATAGCGAAATAGCTGGTGCAACGCGTGCGTCACGTTGTTCATCCCTGTAGACGTGAGGCCGGTCTAACCAGTCGGGAGCAGATACTGGTGGGTCAAGTTCACAGCCGGGAATCTTGGCGTGCGAGTCTCACAATGCGCAGACTGAACCACGTGACGCGTGTTTGGAGAGGAATTCCGCCGTGTGTTCGTTCAGCTGTTCACAATGGTTCAGGGTTTAATATTACTTGTCTCTTTTTATTATACGATTAAACAAAAAACGACATCACTAGTAGGAGAGCGCTGTGATCAGCCTATTAGGCTTTCGCATATTCTAATATTAATATTTTAGTTATTTTAAAGGCTCCTTTTTTTTATGCGCTAATAAAGTAAAAAGTACAGATAAGTCAAACAAGTACGTAGATTTAAGGATACAGGAAACGATCATTACACGCAGAAGGTTTGGTCTCTTAGTTTTACTCCTCATGTGGGAGTTCTGTTCTCATGGCCCAGACCGGCTTTGTAAGATGGAGTGTGGCTTTATTTCCTGGCTCCTCGCCACCGGGTGACGGCTCCTCTGCCTATTTGCTTGAGAGCGGCCGAGAGTTCACGTGGCGGCGCCTCTGAAATCCACGAGCCACTTTCAGCCGGCGGAGTGAAATTCCTAAAGCATCTGTCCTGGCGCAGCTTCGCCGTGCGGATTCGATTCGACAAATGGCAGCAGTGGCTGTACGGTGGGCGGGCCCTCGCTCCACCTTGTGGTCACTGTGCGCCGGGGTCATGTGACCCCCGCCATCGCAATTACCGACTAGCACGTCGACCTGCTGATCCAATTACAGATTTGACCCCTATTTGCACCCATAATGCTGCTGTCAGCTCCAAATCCCTCCGTGTCGACTTCAAAAGGTGTGGGTGTGTTTGCCTGAGACGTTGCTGCGGGTGTGAGGAAAACGTCCCCGTGTGTCATTTCATGAGTAAATGTTGTGAGCGTGTTTCCTCTCAGAACCACGGCCACAGTCATTACTCCCCCCCCGACGGGGAGGTGGAGGAGGGCGAGAAGGAGAAGCTGCAGCAGAACGGAGAAGCCAGCAGTCTGACTCCGGGGAAGGTGGAGGAGGGCGAGGGCGAGCTCATGCTGAGTCCCGCTCAGACACCACAGGTACAAAAAAATGTCAGTCTGTCGTTGTTTTTTTCGAGACTGGATTCGTTGTCATTTTTTATTTTCAGGAGGGGAAATTATTTTTATGACGACGGCATTTAAGCCTTTAAACCTGCTTGAATCCGTCTTTGAAATGTGACCCTCCCCAGGACTCCCAGAGCCCGGACGGCGGGGGGCGGTCCGCCGGCTGCTATTGGCTGAAGGGGGCGACCTACGCCGACATCGGCACGCTGGCCTGGATGATCACGCTGAGCGACGGCCTGCACAACTTCATCGACGGCCTGGCCATCGGCGCCTCCTTCACCGCCTCCGTCTTCCAGGGCGTCAGCACCTCGGTGGCCATCCTGTGCGAGGAGTTCCCCCACGAGCTCGGTGAGTCTCCGGGAGGCCGCCGGACTCGTCTCCCCCCCCCGTCCCCCGTCTCCGCCCTAACGGCCTCGCTCTGCTTCCAGGGGACTTTGTGATCCTGCTCAACGCCGGCATGAGCATCCAGCAGGCGCTCTTCTTCAACTTCCTGTCGGCCTGCTGCTGTTACCTGGGCATGGGCTTCGGCATCCTGGCCGGCAACAGCTTCTCCCCGAACTGGATCTTCGCCCTGGCAGGCGGAATGTTCCTCTACATCGCGCTGGCTGACATGGTCAGTGTTTTGGGGAGGGGGTTATACTCTGATGATGTCATTTGAGTCCTTGGCGAGCTCCTCCCACAGAAGACGAACGTGTGTTTCGGGCTGTGCAGCGCGCCGCACGTCTGTCACACACACGACGACCTTTAATGTGCAGCAGGGGAGCAGCTCGCCCACTCGTCTGGAGAGTAAAAAGTTCTTCACCTCTCGGTTGTTGTTTTTTCCTTCTCCCTCAGTTCCCAGAGATGAACGAGGTGAGTCGGGAGGAAGAGGACGCCGGCGGCAGCAGCTTCCTGCTCACCTTCGCCATCCAGAACGCCGGCCTGCTGACGGGCTTCGGCATCATGCTGCTCCTCACCATGTACTCCGGACAGATACAGCTGGGCTAGCTGCTCCAGCTCAGACTTTTTTTTCTGCTACTGTAAACTGACCCCCCCCCCCCCTTCAAGAGGAGGAGACGCTTCTTGTTTTTCCTCTCTTCTTTATCTTCCTCCCTGCGGCGGGTACGCACACCTTTCCTCTGCCGAAGAGCCCCGGCGTGGCGGTAGATCCCGGCCACAGCGGGAACCGGCCTCCTTTCCTTCTGCGCGATTTATCGGCCTTTTCCCCCCGACGGCGGCTCTAGAAACGTGGAAGCGGCGCTCGGCCTGCAGAGACGAGCTCAGGACCTCTGGAGATGACGTGCCGGACTCGTCACCCGTCGCTCAAGCCTTTCCTCCGCTCTCCTCGCTACTGATCGGCCATTTTGGGCTTTTGCTTTCCTCGCATTGTGTCACATGAGAGGTGATCACGGAGGTTTCTGTCTCTGATCGTCTCTGAACTTCCTCCGAACTTCCTCCGCGCAATCAGGTAACAGCTGGAGTATTGAATCCTTCTTTTCCAGACTTTGACCTCCCGCCCCCTTTCATTACACACCAAAAACCAATCATTAAGAAACCTGAACTTTAATTTGACATCCAGCTGGATCGAATTGTTTTACGTGTTGATGTTTTATACGTGATGACCATGAAATCAGACTTTTTGAAGGCCAAATAGGAGCAGACCAGTGAGAATGGCGAAGGGCTACACGGCGACGCTTGGAGCGCAGCGCTTTGTTTCCTCAGAACGGACTAATCCCTAAAGACGGATCACATATACGTGACACAACGTGATATTAGTGATGTTCGTGGCTTCGTGCCGATCGGAAACAGCAAAGCGTCGGCCTTCCTCCACCTATTTTACCATCTGTGCCCTTCGTTGATCTTTGAATTTCTTTGATTTTTTTTTTTTTTTCCTCGTACTCTTGATCTTGAAACCCGCAGGCTTTTTTTCTCCTAGAATCATCTCTCATTTTACATGTTTGAACAAGATGAATCATACAAACACATCATGTTCTGTGACCGTTTCCATGTTCATCACCGTTAATAGGGATGGAAAAATGAAGTATCTGTACTGTATCTGGATCGGTGGTCATGGCAACGCAACAAGGTCAAACGTCTGTGATGACCGATGTGGTTCTGAAGGTACTCACTGAATCCCAGGACCTCTTAGTCCACTGGAGAGGAATCTGCATCAATCAGCTGATTGGTCTATTCAAACAGCTGCTGTTTTGGTAATCGGTTAAACTTCAGTGTAATTTTTTAAAGCAGAAATCTCACCGGTTCCGCCTTCTCTGACCCTGTTTTCATCTGCTAGGATGTAAAGTCAGGAAATCCCTTTTGGGGTTTCTTCATGTGGATCCGCCTCCCGCTCAGGTCGACGCACCTTAAAATCAATTCCACAAAAATGTCATTATTCTACAACCATTATATCATAAATAATCAATCAATACTTCATGCTGTTGAGTTAAAACATAACAACTGTTAATTGACGCTTTAACCGATTAAAAAGGAGCATCTGTATTCTTTGAAACGTAGAAGGAAAAAAAAAACTTTTTGAGAGCCTTCCAGGTTCGTTCTTATCTCTCTTTCACGTTTCAACATCCTCGCGGTTGTAAAGTGAGCGGAGAAGCGTCTGCATACTGTTGGTCAGTGAAAAGCGCTTCATGATCTGAAGTTTATTGGAGCAACTCGTACGACCCGTTGTGCCCTTTTCTCATATTGTAAACGACAAAGACTGACGTGTTGTTTAGGGTTGAAATGATCTCCATAGCAACGCTGTGCTGCTGTTGAAGCTACAAATGTTCGTCCCTATTGTCCATCTATATTTACTGATGTACTACAGCAGGAAGCAGTAGATTCAATATTAGAATTTTTAAAAAGAGCCTTAGGTTATATTTTATTAGAAATAGAAAGGAGGTCACGTTATTGTAAAGACTTGAATGCTGTAATTATCCCTGGATGGAGAAGTTTTTAACTTGTACCATGAGGTACAGTATTACTGCTGCTTGATATTTACCGTCTTTGGGAGATTATGCGTCGTTCTTCGAGCCATAGAATATTTATGCTCTAACCCTAAAAAAAAAAAAGAATATTCAGTTGCGGTTTACATCCGAAGCCATGAAAGCAAACTGAAGTTCTGTCTTGTTTGTTGTTTATCTTTGTTTCAGTATTTTGTTTTGAAGAAGTGGGACTTTTTATTTGCATTGAATATTTTAACTGTTAAGTCTAAAGACAAATGGCCGAAACTTCTGGTCATATACGCTAATATTAATCTCAAACTGAGAACTGAAACTGGACATTTTGATAATTTATTGATCTTCTTTCAGACTTGATAATTAAAGACATAATGTGCTTAATGTAATTTGGGAATCCTCATCAGCGCTATCTGTGTATCATTGAAATCCTTTTTTATAAACATTCTTTTCCAAGAAAATCAAAATCAATGTGTCAAGTGTCATGATTGTCTTGTTTATTCCACCTCTTTATGTGACGTTTAAATGTGCTTTTCTTCCTTTAGTCCTCGCGTGTAGAAAAACAATCTTTTTTCTAAACCGGAATAAAACACATTTAGGGTTTTCTATCCGTAACCTTGTTTATCTCCGTTTTTCAAAGCTCAGTGTCTCAAACTTTCATGGGGTTGTATTTTTTTCCCACCCACCTTTTTGAAAAGGAAACAGACACCTGAATAAGTTATTGTATGTTGCCAGTAAATATTTGAAAGTTTCAAACTTTTAAATATAGAAAAACGATGTACTATATTATTCAAGGGTTCAGAGCTAATGTCTTGTTCCTGGTTTGAAGCAGTGTGTGCTAAAATATATAGTAGAAGAATAAGGAAATATTCGAGAAGTATTCATTAAAATAAAATACATGGTACAAAGATTTAAAGCACAGTACAAAGTAATACACAGTACAAAGATTTTAAGCTAAGACATATTTACATGTTGGATCACTTATAGATATTGCCGTCACAGGATTTTTGCAGAGGGAAGACCTCTGACTTTGTACCTAAGTAAGTAAAGTACTTTATTAACTTCCAAAATCTGTTGCATCAAATCGATGGATGCAATAAAACTATTTTCCTGACCGACAAAGTAACAGTTCTGTGTTTATGTTGTTACTTTTTTTAATTTACAGTCGAGGTTTACGTTGCAAACTAATCGTGAACCACACGCGTGCTGCGCTCGGTGTCCACCAGGAGGCAGCAAACTCACCGAAACGCGAAGAAGAGAAAAAAAGAATCAACACGTTACGTCACTTCCGGGTCCAACACAGGTGGTCAGAATTTCTTTAGGAAACGAAACTGTCGGGAGCAGCGGCGGCTCTGATGAGATGGCGTAGGAGCTCCCGAGAGTCGTATTTAACAGGTGAACATGTGCGTTAACGCGTTACAGGTACGACGTCTGGTAAAGTTCCACTTATTGCGCGCGAGAGACTCGAGGTGACGCTAATAAAGCCGGTTAGCCTCGTTACGCTGACGTTAGCTCCCCTTCATTCATTAACGGGCCGTCCGCTCGGCCGGACTTGCTAAGTAGCCGCTAGCAGCTCGTCTTACCCAACCAGCGTTACGTAGCTTTTTATCTGTTATGTCCACTTATTACACGCGTTGTCACGACGGGGGGGGGCAGTTAGCCCGCGGTGCCACAGCGGGTTAACAGGTGGTTACGTTAGCATCTAACTAGCTAACCCAACGTTGGTATTAACTACATATGAATGTACAGCTGCTGTCAGCGCCTCCTGATTCTGTCAGTAAGACGTCACGTAACGTCAAAGGAGATTTGTCGCTTCAGCCACAAGCACGTGACCAAAGCAGAACGTCAGATCAGATTACTTTAGTTTTCACTGCACAGATTAGTCAGTTTACAGCGAACAGTAACGGTTATGACTGTAGAATGTACCCATAAGACGTACTGAGGATGAACCTTCAGTGGAATGTCAATCAAATATTTCATGTATAGTTATTCCGTGTGTGTGTTACATCTCATAGTGCGTATCCTCGATCTGGGGCAGATCAGCAAGTACGCTGAAAGGACCGACGCACAGAAACAAAAGTGTGTTTTGAATATCTTTGTGCTTTGATAGAGAATCTAGAGGTGGAGGAGCCATGGCCTGCGCCCTGGTGCCGCTGGACGAGCTACAGGTGACGGAGCCGGGCCCGGCGGGGAAGGCGCACGCGCTGCCCGCGCTGGTGAGTCCTATTTCAGACAGAGATGCGCTCGGGCGTCAGACTAGCGCGTCATCACGAGAGCTGTTTTCTGCTCCCCGTCAGCACCCGGACAGGAAGGAGGAGCGCTGTTTTTTGCCTTACAGATCCCCGCCGGAAAGCGGCTCTCCCGCCGAGGTGGAGGAGTTTCTGGAACACGCCAAGTTCATCACGGAGGACCTGGAGTGGCTGCTCGCTCTGCCCCACGACAAGTTCTGGTGTCAGGTGGGAAGGCGGGTCCAAACATCCCCCCCCCGAGCCGCTAGAAAGCAAATAAATGATGTTTCTCCTCCCGTCTCCTCCGCCAGGTGGTGTTCGACGAGTCCCTGCAGAGGTGCCTCGACTCGTACCTGCACCACGCTCCTCGCGGCCTCGACCTGGCCGCCGCGGCCTCCTCCCCGGCGGTGGTCGACACGCAGCGCGCCGTCCACAGGGCGGTCTTCCTGGCCTTCCTCCGGATGGCCACGCACAAAGAGTCCAAGGTAGGAGCAGCGTCCGAACGCGAGGTCTGGAGGAACGATCACACGTGGCAGTTGTTTGATCGGCGTAATCAAATAAGTCTCGTGTTTGTCGATGCCGCTCCCCAAGCACACAGACAGCACTGTGATGAGCGGCTGCTTTGTGCTCCTCTTTCACAGGAGAACTTCATCACCCCGGCTGTGTTTGGAGAAATCATCTATGAGAACTTCCTGTTTGACATTCCCAAAATCCTGGATCTGTGTGTGCTCTTTGGAAAGGGCAACAGTCAGCTGCTGCACAAGATGATCGGTGATCTTTTTATAATCGCTCCAGTATTTTGACGACTTTGATCTTTATTGCCACGCTTTGTTAACTTGAGTACGACGATTTGTTTTTTTTAAGACAACATCTTCACGCAGCAGCCGTCTTACTACATCGACTTGGATGAGACGGTTCCCACTGTGTTACAGGTGAGGTCTCGTTTCGAAAGTGTCAGATGATGTTTTGATCCATTTAAAGACGCAAAGACGACGAAGTATTTTCCCACGAGACTGCGGGTTATGATTTCCCTCTGTGCCTCCTCCAGGTGTTCGACACCATCCTGGATAAGTGTGGTCTCTACTGTGAGGGAGCCACCGCCATGGAGCCAATGAAGCTGAACTCGCACAAACAGCCCACTGCCATGACCATGAGCCAGCAGGTCAGACGCACACACACACACACACACACAAAGGGACGCGTGTACATTTACCTGGAATAAAACCCAATGCTTCGTGTCCCTCGTAATGTTTTCTTTCTTCCCCTCTTTGCGTCCCAGGACCTTGCGGATCTTGTTCTGTACCTGTGTGACTCCACCACCACCATCCACGCCTTCCTGGACATCTTCCCTGCCGGCTGCTCCAGCTTCCACTCCCACGGCTTCCTCGGCAGGTACACGGACCCTCCCCCTCCCCCGGACTGCCGCCAGCGCGCCCCCACACCTTCGGATAAGCGCTGCTCAGGATCACGTTTGTTTTTTGTCTCCCGGCAGACTGACCTCCTTCTACGAGACCGCCGTGCCCGACCTCGAGAAGGCGTTGAGGAAGAGGAACTTTGACGATAAGCGGTGAGCTTCTGATGAATGTGACACTTGAAAAGAAAAGGCCAAAGAGACTGAGACCCGCTTGGTGAATGATCGTCTCCCGAATCCTCCTTTTAGCGTTCAGGAGGACCTGTGGAGGAGGTTGTCCCACTCCTGTCGGGAGATCGTGGAGATGGCTCACCTGCTGCTGCACCACACCTGCCTGCAGCCGATCCTGGAGGGGTGAGACGTCCCCGACTGTCAAACGTGCATCTCGGCAGAATCAACGTCACACTCACGCAAGCTCATTCTGCTGGATTTTTGTTGCCTTGCAGCGGAGAAAACATGCAAACGTTTGCGGAGGAGCTCCTACTACTTTTCACATCGTTTTTACCTGAGAAAAGGTAAAGTTACGGGTTGAGATCAGAGGGTTGGCGCTGGGGCTCTGGGGCGGGGGGGGCGTGGCCTGTTAAACAACAGAATGAAGAGGTTTGTTTTGTCGTCTCAGGTTCTTGTCGGACTATGACGAGCAGTTCCCCATCGCAGACGACATCAGCCTCCTGCAGCAGGCCCTCCCTGTCCTGTATCCTAATGCAGCTACGGGCCCAAACCTAATGTGCTAAAAGGAATCCATTTTATTAAAGAAAAGCTTCCTCTCATCGGCAGCAGACTATGATTTCTCTTGTGGGGCTCGTTTCATTTCCTTCACCGCCCGCCTCCCTCAGGGATGAGACCAGGACGTCCTACCTGCTGCAGGGGGTGCAGAGTGCCTGGGACAGCGTGGGGAGACGGAGTCGGCACCGGGGCGCGGCGGGCGGCGGCGGCGCCGGCGGTGCTGCCTCCGCCTCCTCTCCTGGCTTTGAACTGCAGGAGGCTCGACAGCCAGAAGGAGCAGAGGCCATGTTGGCCCCCCGGAAAGGAAACGACGTGAGTTCTGTCACTGTTTCTAAGTCCTCACATTTGAGAAGCTGAAACACGTTTGTTTTTAATTACATTAATAAAGATATTTATGGCAAAAAAAAGGAGCAGAAGTAAACAACAATCTTGGTTTTCATGCAAAGTAAATCACATTGGACCTTTTCAGTAGAACGAAGCCTACTTAAACTTTTGGTTCGTAACCCTAAGCTGTGTGTGTGTGTGTGTGTGTGTGTGTGTGTGTGTGTGTCTGTCTGTGTGCGTGTGCGTGTGTGTGTCCTCAGGGGGCTGGCTGTGCGGTGAGCGAGGCCGAGCTGGAGTCCCTGCTGTCGTGTATCCGGGACCTGCTGCCCGATCTGGGCGAAGGCTTCCTGCTGGCCTGCCTGCAGGAGTACAACTACAGCTCCGAGCTGGTCATCAACAACATCCTGGAGGACCGGCTCACCCCCGGCCTGGACCAGATGGACCGCGCCGCGCCGAGGTAACGACCAACACTTCTGCTCACGTGTATGATGTCGATTTGTTTCCTGGAGAGGAAAATCTGTGCTTCTTAAAATATATTTATTCCTTCGTTTAGTTGAGACATCACACCCTTCATTCATCTGCAGTCATTTCTCGTTGACTCTGGATGTTTGTATATAAAATAACCACAGTTACCAAAATATGTATTTTTAAGGGTGATAACGTCATAAAATGTGACGGGCAAAACTTTTAGAAAACCTCAATAGGATCATTTATCCATCTGTCCCTTCAGGCCTGTGAAGGAGGAGCTTCCAGATGTTCTGGACGTCCGATCCAACGTGTTCGACGATGACGAGTTTGACGTTTTCCGCAGAGACCAGGTGGACATGTCTCGCATCTGGAAGGGCAGGAGGTAAGAGCCCGTCCTCCTTTCCATGAACCTGCACAGCCAACGGATCCACGCGCTGAAATCCCCACCAAAATGCTCAATAAAAGCCCAGCAGGACGTTTCGGATCCTCTAAAAAAAAAAGAACCTACCGTGACTCTCGCAGGAAAGGAGAGAACGCTCGAGAGATGCTGAACGACAAGCAGCACGTCGCGGAGCAGAAGGCCCGGTATCTGACCTACGAGACGGTGGTGGACGAGGTGGTCGTGGAGCCCGGGGAAAGCGGCGAGGCGTACGACCTGAACTACGACGACGAGTACGACGACACGTACGACGTGAGCCAAGTGGGAGCCAACGACCTGGACGGAGACAGTCTGCTGAGCAGGAGGTGACAACGGGCCGAACCTACTCTGGTCAATTATTGTTATGGACACATTTTAAAAGCCTTCGTCTGAACATCGAGTACTCGTCGCTGTGTTTGCAGACCTTTCACGGTTCCCCAGATCCTGAGAAAAGTCAACAAACCAGAGTTTGAGGAAGAGGGTGAAGATGAGGAGGAGGAAGAGACACCACAGGTACTGAAACCATCCCACCGCCGTATGACGCTCGGTGTTTTCTGCAAAATATGAACTTGTGCACTTGTGTTCCTCAGATTATCTGAATGTCTTCAGCAGTAATAAATTACGATTATTTCTTCACGTGTTCCAGAACAACGTGAACAGGGACCAGTTCGTCCAGGACCCGGCTCTGCTGAGGGAGCGAGCCGAGGCCAGAAGAGCTGCCATGCATCAAAGGAAAGGGTAAGACGTGTCTGCTCGGTGCATCCAGGACGTTTGCTCACCAGAATGATGGAGACGTTTCTAAAGCAGTTTGGACACGTAGTAAATGTTTGTTTTTCGTTTTTTTCCCGCCTCCAGCTTCCGCCCGGAGCCGCGTCCCAGCAGCGTGGTGGGTCAACCCAAAGGCCAGGGCCAGAAGCTGGAGACGGTCCTGGACCGCCGCAAGAAGGAGGCCGCCAAGGGCCGCGGCGCCAACCACAACCGCCGCAACATGGCCGACCGCAAGAGGAACAAAGGCATGATCCCGTCGTGACCTGCTGCCCGACGCGGAACCCACTGAGGAGGAACAACAACCACCACCAGCGGTACTCGGGTCAGGCTGCTGCCTGCATTCGTCACCGCAGAGTCAAGAAGCCACAGAAGGTTTTGAGTTGATGAAAAGTTGCTTTGATTTTCAGACTTCTTCAGGTCGGATGTTGCACAGCAGCGCGACACCGGACCAAACATCTGCTTTTAGTGATCAGGCCCAAAGATTTTCCTTTTATAGCTCATAGTCAGAGGCCGAGGACAAAGAATAAGACCTTTTTATTTTATTGCCAAGTAACAAATCAGTTTATTATTAAGAGGTGTCGTTGACATCAAATAGACAACATAGGAATAAAAGGAAGCAACAGCCAGGTTTTTTTTTTTTTTTTGGAGAGTCTTGTGGTTCTTTCTGTAGCTGGAAGAACAATTACTGACCTGGACATCAGCGGCAGACTTGTGTTGCTCTCTACTCGTCCCGAACGAGTAACGCGTGGCGTTCAAGTGCACGCCGGCCTCCCGGTTCACGCCGCCGCCGCCGCCGTGTGTTTGGAAGCGCGTGATGCACCAAGGCGCCTCGTGGCCTTTACAAAACCTCCACATGTTGCCATGCACAGACTATTTTCTATGAAGAGAACAGATCTATCGGAGCACTTTGTAACAAAATGAAAAAAAAAAAAAGCACATGAAATTGCTTTTTGAAATGAACGTTGCAAAATAAAACATGAGTACAACCACGCTGGGTTTGACATCCTTTCATTGACAAAAATAGCTTTTTCTTTCACAGGAAGTTGTGTTTGAGACACAGTTAAATCTATTTTTAAAAATTAAGTAATTTACTTTCTTTCCAAGAGTTAAGAGAACATAAATATCACTCATGTTTGTACATCAACATGAAGCACACGTTTCACTGCACCAGATCCAAGACTTTAGTCATCGTACCGAGTAGTAATTGATCAGAGGATTCTGTGTGCAGCTTCTCGTGGTTGTGAGTTGAGCTCCTGTTAAAGTCCCAGCGAGCTGTTGACACATTTAAATGGTTTAAAACGGCAGCTACTTTAACATCTAAAGCATAAATAAGGAACGTTGTGGGTTCTGTCCGACAAGGCGAGTTAAGGACAAGCTCGGCTCCTTCGGCACTACAACTAGTGAACGGCAAACTGAGTGTGGACACGAGATGAAACGGTTGACAGGTTGGTTATTGACATCATTTGGACCTAAAAGGGACCTTAAAGCTTTGACTGACGCGGGAACATTGAGTCCCATCTCCGCCGCTGTGGAGCACTCTTAGAAATACGTGTTTAAATAAAGTGCACAGTAACATGATCCCAGGAAGAAGTACTGCTTAACACACAGTACTGCGTTCATGCTACCACCGGGAGACCCGGCGGAGGGTCAGAGGTCAGAATCGGACCCCCCCCCCCCCCCTCCACGGTTCAGGCGGTGAGTCTTGTTTGCTCCAAAGGTCCCGTTCGCCGGCCGGAGGAAGCGGCGAGGTCGGAGACAGGTCGGCGTCCGCTAACTGTCCCTGTGGACGCGGCCTGCGGGGGGCTCGAAGAGACGAGACATTTTGAATCAAGAGTTCCTCGCCACAGCGGCCCGATGAGGTCACGCCGTGCAGCCAGACTCACCGAGGATGCTGCGCTTGCAGAGGGGACACGTGTGATGCAGCAGCAGCCAGGGGTCCACGCAGTCTCTGTGGTACTCGTGGAGACACGGCAGCACCCGCAGACACTGAGACGACAACACGGGACACGCCAGCACATGCTACAGCACGCCAGGGTGGTAGACTGTAGTTTGTACAACTTAAAGTGTGTGTTTTCTGACCTGGTTGTTGTTGAACGGCTCCAGGCAGACTGCACAGTTGTCCGTCTCCACCGGCTGGGACGCGTCGCACCACGCTTTGGGCTGGCGGTACGTTTTGGTCTTGAGGGACAACATTCTCTTCAGGACGTCCTGTTTAGGAAGCAGCTGAGGAACGCAACACTTTACCAAAGATTGTCTCCACAATGTGCAGCAAAAGGACGTCGCAGATAAACAGGAGTCAAATGATTTGTTTAACATAAAAATATACAGAGAGTAACTTTGAAACCTTTGTATATTTTATTGGCTTGTAAATACAAATCAATAAAACAGCAGTAAATAAGGTTAATCTGCATTAAATCAGGTAGTAATACATCAATGTCCAAATGTAAAAGCAGGCTTTCAAAAACCTGGACTTCTTTTAAAAGTCTAAACTATTCGTATCAAAAAATATACTTAAGTTTAGCCAAAGTACTATATATTTAGAATGGCCAATTCAGATTAATATGTTATACTATTGTATTATTATTGATGCGTTCATGCGTCACTTTTATGCTGCAGCTGGAAAGAATTGAGCTTATTTTCACTACTTCGCATATGTTAGCAGAACTCTCCAGGATTTTTAATGCATCATATTTCATTGATAATCTGATTTGCAGTGATGTAAAAAGGAGAAAAATAAAACATTGTTGAGTTGAAGTTTAACGCTGCAGAAACTGAAATGTACCTCAAATAGTATTTGAGTAAAACGCCGCAGTAAATAAACAAACATAAAAAAAAGAAAAAGCCTTGCAAAGATGACAAAGACGTGTTGTTGCCAGTGTAGAACCACAGCGTATCCCTGCGACGTCACAGAGCAGTTTACCTCCACGTCGTCGTTCCGCTGGTGGTCCTGGTTCTGCCTGCGAGCCTGAACAATGACCCCGGTGCTGAGGATCAGCGCCACCAGGAGGACGGTGTCCCACAGCTGCTGCAGGTACTTCTGCAGATACACGGAGAAGTGCAAACAGTACTTCATCACCGTGACTCTCCATCCCAAGTGTGTGTGGGGGGGGGACCTTGTGATTCCGACACTTCAGGGAAACGTGTTAACAGCGCCGATGGCGTGTTTCGTTCGGGCTCCCACCCCCCACCTGAACCTGAGAGTTGGTCTCTCCCGTGCAGATGAGCCCCTGCCACTCTCCGTAGCGGCCTCCTCTGGACCGGCCGCAGCTGGACCACAGCGTGAGCGTGGCTCCCTGCCCGGACACACAGCAGCATGCGCTCAGCGTCAGCTCAGCCTGTCATGTGTTCACTCACCACTGGAGGAGGGGGGGGGGGGGTTTGGGGGGGGTCTCACCAGGTTGTCCTGCAGGATCGTCTTGTAGGTGATCTTAGCTGTGGCTTGAAGACCCCTGTAGGGAGAGAACCGCCGACTTAAGAGCAGGTTGAGATTTTCCGTCACGACGTTCACATTGGATATGAGGTGTTGTGTACCTGAGCAGAGCTCCAATCAGCTTGGTGACATTTTCAGACGTCTGGATCACAATGATGGGCTTCGACAGCACCGGGGACAGATCCATCTGCAGCACGAGCAGGTGTTTAGGTCAGAAATACGACGTGGACAAAGTCTTTTAAGCTCTAAATGTTCTCTGTGCAGCGTCTTGTTCACCCAAGTGAACGGAGCTGGTGAGAGTTTGAGGAGATTTACCTCGCGGACAGTGTTTTGGTTGAGAGCCAGGATGATGAGTGCAGATGCTCCGAGGACCAGCGCTCGCTTCATCTTCAGCAGAGAGGGTGTTAAGAAGTTAGGAACGACACTCACAACAGCAGCTCACGGTGAGTTCAATGACTCACTTTATTGACCATCGCGTCGGCGAAGGACTCCTGGTTCCCGGTGGAGGCTTTGTTGTCCTCCACCTCCAGAGGCACCAGCCCGATCCACAGCTCCTGCTCCTTGGTGTCGTCCTCTCCCTTTCCTGCGCTCACCTGCGTCTCCTCATCCACCTGGACCGGAGGACAAAAAACAAGCTTAGACACCTGGACCGAAAGCTGCCTGGCTAAAAGAAAGAGTCTCCCGTGTCAAACAAGAATACTGGAATCAAAAGCCAAATGCAAACCTGCAAATGGCATCTATAGGGTTTCCATTTATAATCTAAATATCATACAGGGGACATCACCTGGTGCAGAACTTTTGATGAATTATTGGTCCGAAAGAATAGCATATTTTGGTTACATTTCTTTTCTGGATTACAGTAAATTACAGTATAAATTAATTGCAGTCCTGGTGCTGTCAAAGCTCCCATCGGTTTGCCAAAAGCGTTCGATTGTATTAACCATCCAGACCAGCAACTGTGCCATTTTGACCGTGGATGACTCACCAGGAGCAGCTCTCCCTCGAGCTCGTCCCGGTCCACGCGGCTCTCGCCGCCGCCGCCGCCGCCGGACTCCACCACCTCCCCCTGGAGCACCGCGCTGACAGCGGGCCGCTGCTCCAGGAAAACCTCCACCAGAGCGACCCGCTCCGCGGCCAGCAGCAGCCCGGGCCACCGCAGCAGGACGAGCGGCAACGTCACCCACAGACGGCCGCAGCAGCGCGCTAAAGACATGGCCCGACGGAAGACAGACGGCACGAGTACCTCAGCTGCTAACCGGCATTTCGCCTGGAATTGTCGTGCCCCAGTTAGCCGGCTGTGCCCAGGCTTAACCCCGCGGAGAACGTAAACAAGAGCGGGCAGCTTCCGGCTCTAACCGGAAGTAGCGGGATGGTCTCCATCTTGTGGGCAAAACGCATTTCCAAAAATGAAATGTATTTATACAAGTCGTTCAAGGTAAATATACATCTGGACGATATTCATACATAAGACATAAACATACAATTAACGCGTATTCGTATTCTTCTAACTCACTGTTACAGTTTCGTCATCGTTGAGTTCTACAATCAAAGGTTAACGTGAGTTATCAACTTGAGAGAGTGACGTCCCTCACTTCCTGCTTCGGTTTACAGACCCGCCCGTTGGAGTGCTGATTCACGTCTGTTAACACGATGGGTTTACTTTATTTCCACCGTCATAGACCACCATTTCCCCAAACGTGCTCAAAGTGCACTACAGCTAGCATTTTATGTCCCGGAGAACCACAAGGTTGAAATAAAACCAATAAAACCTCACTTTGCTGCCGGCAGGTGGCGCTTTGCTTTCAAAGCTTCACTTGCGCTATCGCCTCACAAAATGAATGAAAAATACATAAAATGACAAGCTTATCAAATGTCATCAACTGCTACAATATGTTCTCCCCATGTCGTGTATAATAGCGGCACAATTCACCAGTAGCAGAGATGTTCAGATGCTATTGCGTAAGGAGGTTTGTATAAGGGGGCGGGGCCTCGGTCCGGCCCCTCCTTTTCCCCCCACGAGTCACGCCCCCGTCATGTAATTCTATCTGAGTCAGCCCAGTAAAAGCCGCTGCGAGTGTCGTGTTTACCTTTTTCCTCTCTCTGTCTGCCTCTGCCTCCATTTATTCACCTGCGGACACGTGACAGCGAGGAAACCGACACGCTGCGGCCGCGAATGAGCATCACCGGCGAGGAGGAGAATCAATCCCCCCCCCCTCCCGTGGCGACGGTGCTGATAATTTGACTTTGAAGGAGCTGCGTCCCCCATCGGTCCCTCATCGGTCCCTCTTCCGTCCCTCTTCCGTCCCCCATCCTCCGGCCGCAGACATGAGCGGAAGAGCCGGAGACCTCAGTCCTAAACAGGCTGAAGCCCTGGAGCAGGTACAGCTAAATTATTATTCTCCTTCTTGGTGTCTCTGTAATAATCTGTTTGGTAGCTCTCTCTAAGTGAGGCGGTCTTTATTTTAAAAAAAGGGTTATAAGCTGTATTTAATATACTTAATCGTCAAATAATTAGTTATAAGCCATGACTGTATTTGTTTTCTTCATTATTGAACAGCTTTAAAAACATCCCGAAGCCACATCTAATATGTTTTGATAACTTGCTATGCACAATATAAGAGCATAAAATAGCATAAAATCTTATCTAATTATTATTTTTTTCAATCACATTTTTTAAACATGAGTCCTAATAAGTTAAAACTTAATAAACCCCTTTGTGAAGGAGTTCCCTCTCAAACGGAGGGCGTACATTCCACTGAGAATTAATTGAAACACTGAGATTCTGTTCTAAAATTAAATGTCGTGTTAGTTTTCTGAAATGTGACCCCAAAATAAGCCTTTGACATTTTGACATTTTTGCACCGTGAGCGATTTAAGCGATTCTCAGACTTTCTGCTGATTACTTTTTTTTCGGCGGACCAATCGATGACTCAGTGTTTTTTATTCTCATAAAAAGATTGTACGACTTCGGAACAATCAAAGCTCAAGCAGCAGAGGACAGAGTTCCTGAGGATTTGATTCTCTGTGACAAACTATATTTCCGTCATTCTGTTTGCATGTTATATGTAATTTAACATAAAAAGCCTCATCTTAATCTTCTATTAATAAAACATATTTGTCAGTGTTTTTGCATTACATATATTTAGGCTACTTTCTATTTAAGCTCATGTTAATGATTTATTAGCCATTATTACGTGCGTCATTGCACCCTATAAACCATTTATTATTATATTATACTGTAATATAAGGCTGCACTTTAAGTTCCCGTCCCTCAGTCACCGTGTTCATCGTTCACTTCCACATTACTGGTCTCGTGATTCACGTGCAAGATTCATGTTTTGGTCTCTCTAAAGTTGGTGAAACTCACAGGGGAAGTGTGTTTGCTTTATGAGTGTAGTACACACAAACACTACAGCGTGCACACACCTCTTCACGCTGTTTTGGAAGGTTTGGCGTCGGCCTTTCGGTCCGAACGAGGGGAAATGATAATGACGAAGTGCACGCGGCCTCCCGCGTGGAACCGTTTGGGTTTGGCCTTCGCCAAGAGGCCGGACATCGACCCCCATCCGAGCCCCTTCGGGAGGAATTTAAACGACACGACAATCTCACTAACGAGACCGGAGCGATTCCACATCTGGTGGCAGCTGTTGAAGCAGCACGTTAGGGCCCATAATTGTGTAATAACTCATTTTTATTGGCAAAAGTTACAAAAATTAACTGGCTGCAGCTTTTCATGTTTGTAATATTTGCTTTTTTCTTTCTTCAACTGTGATTATATGAAAACGGAGGTTTGTTGGTTCAACAACACGAGCTTTGTATGTAAACTCGAGTCGAGCCGAATGATGACTCAGGTAAAAAAAAAAGCACCTGGTAGATTATTCTGCAGCCCCGATGTGTCAACACACGTTTGTCCCTGTAGTGGCGTGTCCCCCCCCGTCCATGCAAACGGCCGTTGAACTTCTCCCACCTTTAAAGTGTGCACAAAGAATTGGTCACAAAGTCACATGTTTCAGCGGCTTCAGACAGAGAAGTGCTTCAAAGATGAGGGTGAAGTCTCTCTCTCTCTCTCTCTCCCCCTCGTATCGATCCTCGTAACCTCTCTTCTTCTCTCCTTCCCCTGGCTGCAGTTTCGAGGGAGGATACAAGACGTTCTTCCTCAACTTCCTGCGCAGGACGACCACTTCCTGTTACGATGGCTCAGAGGTCAGCTTAGAAACGTTTAAAAAATGAACAAAACACCTGCTGTTTTTCCCACAAAAGAAGTGTCCTGTGTCTTTTCCCTTTATGCTAATATTTTAATGTTCCACGCCTCGAGTCCCCGAGGACAACGTGTCCCTGTCGTTGTGAAAAGCAGAAGCGTTTCTGGTTTATTACATGAAGGGACGTGATGCAAAACATGGCGACACTCTGCGGCGGTTGAGAAAGTCAACTCACATTGTTCGCCCGCCCGAAAACCCGATGCTCAAAACCGCCAAGTGCAAAACCGAGCAGCAGATTATTCAGATACATATCTTCTTATTATGGGGGGGGGGGGGGGGTCCTCGTCGGCAGCTAACAACGTTTCCACTGCTAATCACAGACGCCTGGCAGCTTGTTGTCTCATCGTTTTTTAATTGGTTAATCCAGTTTTAAATCCTCTGATTAGTTATTTCTGTCCGCGGCGCGTTCATTTAAATATCTATTTCACTGGGGATTATTGGTCGAAACTGCCACGAAACACTGAAAAATGTGTCATGTGATCAGAAACAATTCGACACTGTTAGTTTTTCCTCACACGTTCATATTTGGGGCCTGTGAGAGCAGTGGAACCCGTTTCGAATTGGATTCTATTTGGTATAAAAAAAATCTTAAGACTTAAATCAAACCGGGCAAACGCTGACAGAAGCCCCGGGTCAGTTTGAGGTGAATTATCTGGAGGCCTTGTTGGGATTATCTCTGCCACCGAGGTCCAGAGGTCCAGCGCTTTGTGTCCGGCTAATCCGCGGCTGATCGCATTAAAGACGCACCGCGGAGGAAAGCGTGTTGTTCTCTTTGACGAAGCCTCACTAAAGGTCACAAACAAACAAACAAACAAGGAGGGTTCTGTCAGGAAGTCGGTGAAGAGGAGGCCCGCTCTGTGGGAATATTCGGCTCGGTGCAGTCAATTGATTTAAAGCCCCCGAGGGGGCACTAATGATCGCGGAACCAAATGTTTCACCCGCGTTCCCCTCCGCAACGCGACATGTGATTCCAAAAACACTTCTGCATACAGATAACCTCTCTTATAGTCGGCTTCTTCGTAGACGAGACAACCAGAACGCCCCGAAGCAACTACCGACGTCGCCGGGCCCCGAGGGAGAAACCGCCTCATAGATCAGCGCGAAGCCGTGATCAACAAGACGCAGCGCTTGGCCTACGTGCTGTTTCTAATCTTTATAAGTCTAAAAGCTCCGCCGAATGAACCCTGCACCGCGTGTGAGATGATTCGCCGACCGGCTTCGCCCTCCTGTATCTGCTGCAGCACGAAGCTTTAAGATAACGAAACGCAGGTCATAAAATCTTCACCCGCCGCTTATCCAAGAAGAGACACTGGTTCCGATAGGAAATATTCAGGCGATGGGAGCGCAACGCTTATAAGTACCCCGGGTGGGGCACCTTACGTAAGGTGCCTTCAGCTTCAGTGTAATCCGCTGCTGGAGAGAAGTGAGGTGAGACTTTACACCACCAGGCTGCCAGCAGCACAGATAAGCACCTCTAGACTGTGAGGCTCCACCGTGTGGTCTCCATAGGCCGCACCAGAGGGGTCCTAGCACCAGTTTATTACCAGACACGCAGTTACAAATTGATCATTTAAAGAGACTTTTCATGTTATTTTTACATCCTTTGTATATTAGAATTTGTTCTTAACGTGTCGTCTCACCTCTGGCTGTAAAACCAGATATAACATAATATATATGCATAATATAGAGAACATGAACTGTAGAATATAGCATAGCTTGATGTACGGTGTTAGCGGAGGTCCCAGACCATTTCGCATCATCACCTCAGCCTCTTTTTCACTTTCCTTTTCTCTTTCCTTTTCAGCCAGAAACTTTAACCTGCAGAAGTCGGAGGCGATGCTACGAAAGGTAACACGTTCCGGCCTCTCGGCGCAGTTCAAGTACCCGCACGCCCTCGTAGTAATCCTCCGCAGATCCCGTGCCGAGTGGAATGCCGAGGAACGAGCGCCGTCTCTCAGTGACTGACGAATGAGCAGCGGCAGATCGGAGAGGAGACGTTTGGAAACTGAGTCATCGCGGCCTGATAAGCCAGGGAAGAGAGAAAGGGACGTGTTGGGAAAGAAAAGTAGCACAGTCAAAGTCTCCTCTGAATGTATTATATTCATTAGCTGAAGCTTTTACTCAACGCAAGTCAAACTGGTTGTTTTTTCTCCAAAATAAGAATCAGGGCGCCGCCCGCAGCGCTCAGGTTCCCACATACATTCACGGTGTTCACACGACAACGCCTTTAACCTGCTGCTACCTGATCCACGCCTCAACAGTCCGTCCTAGTGTTCCCCTCAACAGCCGACCACGCCTACTTACCTATTTGACTGATCACCTTGCTGCTGGCGGGACAGCACGACCGCCTGAAGCCTCCTGAGAGCCTTCGATAACCCCCAGCAGGCCACCCTCCAGAATGCACACAGCCTACCTTTTTTTTTGGCGTTCTTGTTGTATGTTTGTGATCGCGTGAGGAGCGGCGGTTGTGTGTTGCGCTTGACGTCCACTCGTCTTTTCTTCCAGCATTTGGAGTTCAGGAAGCAGATTAAAGTCGACGCAATACTCACCGACTGGCGTCCGCCAGAGGTGAGACGACACTCAACGTGATGTGGTGTTGTTGTTGTTGTGTCCTTATCGCCGACTAATCAATCAGTTGGTTTAATTGACGTATTTCTTCACAAAGGATCAAATTCATGCTCGAAACGCCGTCCGTCCGCAGGTGATCGAGAAGTATCTGTCGGGAGGGATGTGTGGGTACGACCGCGAGGGCAGCCCCATCTGGTACGACATCATCGGACCCGTGGACCCCAAAGGCCTCTTCCTGTCCGCCTCCAAGCAGGACTTCATCAAGTCCAAGATCCGGGACTGCGAGGCCCTGCAGAAGGAGTGTTCCCTGCAGTCCCAGAGGGTGAGAGGACGGAGACGCTGCCTCCGGCTGAGGCGTGGTGGTTCATGCGAGGAGAGGCTGTCAGAGGATTCACTGATTAACGCTAAAAAATATCGTCCTCACAAAAGTAGGATTACTTTTTTTCAATATGTTTTATGAAATACTGGGTAGTTTTTCCTCTTATTGCTCATAAAGAATTATTGAAGCAACGTGAGAAGGACGCACCACTCTTTGACTGAGCGCAGCGTCTAGACATGAGAGACACGAGGACACACGGCCTCTTTAGATAGATAGATTGATTGATAGATTGATACTTTATTGATTTCTTTATTAATTTCTTTTTGGTGTCACAGCAGCATGAACAGGGAAGAAAATAGAATTAAAAGATACACATTATATACACATTATATGCAATATAATAAGATAAAAATATTAAATTATTAAATTTAATACATTTAAATAAACTAAAACAAAAGAATAACCTTCAAGAAGAGACAATAATGCAATAATAATAATTTGTAAAAGGAGAAGAGGAAGAGCAGCAACAAATGATCCAAACACGTGGGACACGACGCCGTTACATTTTTCCCGTTAATTGATTCCGTCTGGATTATAAAAATTAAAAATATAAAATGTACAGCCTCAAGATTTTTTGAGGGGAAACTTCCCTGATTTGTTATTTTAATAATAATTAGTTTCTTCAGGTCCATTTTAACTGTGTAAATATTGTCTTTAAGTCATGGATTTATCACTCGGTTCACTCTTTCTAATTATTAGTTCACAGACTAGACGCCACTTCAACACCAGCCAACAATTAATAGCCAGCTCGCTTTTCCACATATATCTGATTTATCTTTACACATTATTTGTACAATCTCAACATGGAATGATTAAATGAACGTGTCCTCTCCAGCTTGAGAAGAACGTGGAGTCAATCACCATGATCTACGACGTAGAAGGTCTGGGTCTGAAGCACCTGTGGAAGCCTGCTATAGAAACATATGGAGAGGTAAAGACACACACACACACACACACCTCTGAAGAACCAATCAGAGAAGCCGAGCGTTTCAAACAGAGTCCATGTTCCTCTGTGTCACCAGATCCTCCAGATGTTTGAGGAAAACTACCCTGAAGGCTTGAAGAGGCTGTTTGTCATTAAAGGTGTTCTACATCGTATCGCCGTGTCCTGCTTCAGAAGAGCCACATCAATCCTCTCGGGTCAAAGGTCGTCACTTTTGACCTTTTCCTCCTTCCTCCCCCAGCGCCCAAACTCTTCCCCGTGGCCTTCAACCTGGTCAAGCACTTCCTGAGCGAGAACACGAGACAGAAGATCTACATCCTCGGGGGTGAGGCGTCCACGTCTTCACTTTGCAGAACACTTCATCCGAGTCGCCCCACCGTGACCTCTGACCTCTCCGTTGTTGTCGCTGCAGCTAACTGGCAGGAGGTTCTGCTGAAGTACATCGACGAGGAGGAGCTGCCGGCGATATACGGGGGCAAACTGACGGATCCCGACGGAGATCCTCGCTGCCGCACCAAGGTGGGTCAACAAAACCCAACCTCTCCCCCGTGGGTGCTGCTTGTTTAGGTGCTAACAGGCGGGCCGATGAGGAGCTGAAGGAAACAAGGACGTGGCGCAGGTTGCTGCATGATTATCGTTCGTCAATAATTCGCACCCTCGTCTTCCTGACTGAGGCCGAACTCACAGTCACTGGACACAGATGTGATTCCTGCAGCAGCCGATCAGCCCTCCTGTACCGAAGCAGTTTGCAGCTTGCAGCTTGGCGGTCCGGCTCAGCCTGCTGTGCACAGGAAGCCTTAGTGGCGTTACGATTCGACGGGAATACGTTTTCATGCGAGTTCCCCGTCCCAGGACGGAAAGGAGCCGTTGGCCTAAAGGCGAAAAAGTCAGCGTCACATTCAGGCTACGAGTCTCTGTAGGATCCTGCAACTCAGGACCCAAGAGACACTTTGACCTCAGAAGCTCAAAGACAAAAAGATGGACACAGTTTGTCTCCACCCAGAAAGGTGTAGATATACGTGACGGAACTGATGCAGACATTATGCAATTTGTGGGACGAACAGGTGGCTTTCTGGGTAAATTGTAACAACTGAGATCTGCCGACAGTTCTGCAGTGACTTAAACGCAATAAAAAACGCGGGCTTCATCCCAGCTGCGGCGCTGCCTCGCTGCTGCGTAGGAAAGGCTAAAGCTCCGAGTAGCACGTGCAGCTTCAGTAGTCACCTTCTTAGTCAGCGGAGAAGAAAACTGACCGTGCGTTTGTTTCTGTAGATAAATAATGTGGTCCAGGAAAGATGAGGAACAGCAAGAGAGAGATTCAAGATCCAAGGACTTGAGATGCCGCGACCTCAAAGTGTTTCCTCCTCTCCTTTGCTCTCTGGTTCAGCCGCCTGTGTGTCCTTTGCTCTGGTTCGGTCGTAGCAGCGGAGCCGTCTGACACAAGGAGCAGTTTGCGGAAATGCAATGACATCGCTTTCTTCAGCGGATAGTTAGTTTAGATTATCATGAAATGCTCCAGTTAGCCGTTGGTGTCGTAAGAGGATACGGGTTTATTTGAAGGGTGCAGCAGGAATTCAATAAAACCTTTGAGATCTGCTTTAGAAACAGTGGAGCCTCACGCTTCCCACATGTGAGCTTATTCTCACATTTTCACTTGCAGCTTTTGTCAGATCCGCACAATTTATGGGAATGAAAAAAAGAAAAGAAGAGATGCCGGATGAAGTTGTTCTCTCTGACGGACAAAAAGAATTGTTTCTATTCTTTTAGTAATTTTCTTCTTTCTGCATCTGTGACCAGTTTCCCAATAACTGTTCTATAACTATCAAAGTGGTTTCACTTTGACTCCCTTTATAATGATGGCCAACACAGGCCTGAAACAGCAGCCAGCTTCATGTTGTTATGCGTCACCAGCTGGATGTAACACTGACCTCACTGAGGTCACAGCCCCCCCCCGCTGGTTGCTTCCTGTACTGCACTGGGAACACTGGGTTGGTTTCATATTAATCTGAATAAACGCTGGAAAAGTGAGAAGCTTTTTTATTCATGTACAAAGGCTGTAGAATGACCAGCATTCAGACAGAGTCACAGTAAGTGATGGCTTTCTCTTCTCCCTCCACCATCAACATTTCCTAAACCCCCCCGTCTGACACGCGTGTCTCTAACTCCGTCCATGCATGTCCTCGGGCCGCAGATCAACCACGTCGGCCCGGTTCCCCCCTCCTACTACGTGCGGGACCACGTCAAGGTGGACTACGAGCGGTGCCTGACCGTCAGCCGGGGCTCCTCCCAACAGCTGGACTACGAGATCCTGTTCCCGGGCTGCGTTCTCAGGTCAGAGGCGCGCGGCCACGCGGGGGTCAAAGGTCATCCGAGGCCCCCCCCTCGGAGCAGAGAGCACCCGTGAATTTACTTTGATGTGAGGATCAGATGGGTTTGCTAAACATGATTCGTGTTCGTTTGCTGTCTCGTAGGTGGCAGTTTGCCACCGAGGGGGCGGACATCGGGTTCGGCGTGTTCCTGAAGGCTAAGAAGGGCGAGTGGAAGAAAGCCTCTCAGATGCACGAGGTGGTGCTCAGCCAGCGCTACAACTCCCACTTGGTGCCCGAGGACGGATCCCTGACCTGTGAGCGGCCGGGAGTCTGTGAGTAGCGCCCGATGCTCAGCACGAAAGGCCTCACCGCGTGGAACCGCGAGGTCAGAGTAAAGTCGACCTGTTTCCGTGTTGTGTCCCCAGACGTCCTGAGGTTCGACAACACCTACAGCATCTTCCAGGCCAAGAGGATCAGCTTCTCCGTGGAGGTCCTGCTGCCGGACCACATGCAGTCCCCACACGGGGCGTCCAAAGACCACGAGCCGGCTGCAGGCGACGGCCAATCGTAACCAAGGACCACGCACAAGGGCCCCCCCCCACCCCCGTGTGCAGGGCAAGCGGTAGCGTTCAGACGCCACTGAGCGCGGCCTGAGAGACTCCAGTTGGACGGAACCGCAACGTGCTGCAAAAAACACACAAGTATTGAACCCACGTGGAGACAGTTTGACCCTCTGGTCCACGAGCGCTCTGCGGGGGGGGAAGGAGGGACACGCACAACGCGACCAGTAGCGAGTGGTCGTTTAGGACGACAGACCACACGTGTCGTCCACGCACTTCTGTCCTTCGCAGTTGCTAGGAGACGGGAGAACGCAGATAGCAAGTCGACCTCAAGAGTTCATCGTCTCAACCATCGGAGGCCCACCAGCAGCAGCAGCAGGAGGCTCGTGGCTACTTTAGCCCCCCGATAGCACAGCACGACTGCTGGTGGTCGAGGTGCATTCTGGGAAATGTAGGCTGTGGAAGGAGTGCAATGGTTGATCTTCTGAACGCTTCCTTGTGTGTCCATCAGTGTTAGTTTCACATCGTGTTTTAAAAAGCTACCGAGACAATCAGGTCACCGCCGATTAGACACAGAACAAGAGACATATTCATTTGTTTCCTTCAGACACAGAGAAACATTTTCAATAGATATGTTTGTGTATAAATATAAATATTTACCAGCATCAGTTTATTTAAATTAAAGTATGATTAGTTTAGTTTGAGATGTTTCTGTTTTATTAGAATCATTGGAAAGTCAAACACTGGACATGTTGTTTAAAAAAAAAGAATTACACATGGAAGCTTATTTAATAATTTTTTATGAGTTTTTAAATTCAGATCTTGCATCATTATTGCTATTAGCATTTCTTGCTCATTGGATGTGCCTCTGGTTGGCTCATAAACATTCCTTAAACTATGTCTTCAATGCTAATTTATTTCCAGAGAATGAAAGAATATTTATTTGCTATTTACACATATTTATCAAGTATACAATAAATAGTATTACATTATATTCATGTCGACTTGTTTCCAGTGAATGTTTATGAAGATATTTGACTCTCTCACGATAACTGAATGTAAATGGGGTCAGAATTATTCTCCTCATATTCATAATAGAAACAGTACTGAATAAACCATGGGAGGGACCCTGGAGGGACCCTGGTTAGTCCTGAGGAAAGATACATAAGGGCCTTACTGTTCAAACTGTGTTGATAAATATCTTTTCTCACACGATAAACTCAAAATAACTTTAAGATGAGTAAATAAAAGGTGTTGACACTTTGCTGGATGAGTCTTTTTTATTCATTCACACTCAACACACTGCAGCAGAAGAGACGTTAAGGGACACGTCTGTAAAGTGGGTGAACAACATTATTATATAGTTCCCCTCATTCAGGCGTTTTAAACTGTTACTGGTCACATTGGGGCTCAACCTGTAAGCTGAGCAGTAACAAGACAACGGTTTCCAGGTGGAGAAGAGCTTCAGCGTGAGGAAGCAGCGTGACGTCTCCCTCTAGAGGCTCCGACCAGTAACACGACTACACACACCTGTTGGACTCAAGGTGCCGTTTGGCCTCGTGGTCCTAATGCCTCCAGGTTTGGTCATCCGCCATGAAGGATCCTAACAGTCGGTTCTGGAGAACCAACGTCACACACACCAGCCCGAAACAATCTGACCATTCAAATCCAGCCTCAGGTTCCCTAAACACTGCGCTGTCTTTTCCTAACTCCTCAGGACTTCTCCTAACCATGTTTCCTTGACCCCGTGACGTTTTCCACAGGGGTCAAGGAAAAGTGGTTAGGAGGTCATTTAAATCCATCCTTCCTTTGTGCTTAGGAAGGTTCCTAACTGAGTGAAATGAGCCGGAAGTAAATATGAAGGATTCCAATGTATGAAAAGTGATGCATTGCTAAAAATTAAACCACCCAACAGGATATAAAAGAGTTTAAATGAACACAAGCGTCAACATCTATGACAGTAAAATGCTGCACATCAATGAAGCCGAAATATTCATCCAGAAACTTCATGTATAACAGACAGGAAACACTTTAATGCACAATGAGGATCTTTCTTGAAGTACATTTTACACATGATACTTTTACATAAGTAAGGTTTAGAAGGACTTTTTCACAGTTGGGTGTGAGTACTTTTACTGCAGTAAAGGATCTGAATACTTCCTTCACTGCTGCTCTACAATATCTACAGAACGTTGATGTCAACAGACCAGATCGTCATGATATTCCTCATTACAATTATTCATTATCATTTTATTGTGTTTGTCCAGATATCAGGACGCGTGTTCTCTGAAACTGGAACAAAGTCCTTCTAGTTAAAGACTGATGATCTTTTCTCACCTGAAGGAACCGAACCATTTATTCATGAATCTGAACAGTTTACTGTAAAACACAATGAAGAACTTGTTAAATTTTAAAGATGAATGCGATGAGATGAGGCTTTATGTGGTGACGTGATTTGAAACTAAAGCCTTTTAATGCAAACCTAACGTTGTTGCGTTAGAAAAAAAAGTAGTTAGTAGTTCAAAATAAAATGATTGTCTGTATTTGAAGATTATTTACACCAAAAACACAATTTAGAACGTCATCCCTCACACACATAGTTCTTCTTATTTATACTTTAGTTTCTCATTCCTTAATTTGAAAATATTTACAGAACACAACAACAAAGACTATAATAAACATGCTGATGAATCACTTTGACTTCACCACCTTCACTGAACATCACAGAGAAACATCAGCTTGACAGATTTTGATATCAGCAGTTTTAGCGTCACCAGACTTTCCAATATTAAACCATGGGAAGAGTTTCTCAGTGAAAGTGTCTCTGAGAGTGCAGATGGGAGTCGTGTCTTCAGGGTTGTAGAAGGACACGTCCCCCCTGTCGTAGTCCAGCTGGACTCTGATCCTCTGGAGACTCTTCTTCACTCTGACAGTCTGACCAGCTCCATTAGTGTATTCTCCACTGTGATGACACCAGACTCCATCTTTCGGTGAAACACCCATCGCTCCCTTCCTGTCAACTGACTCTTTAACCAAACCTACAAGCCAGTAAGGATGGTCTCCCACCTCCACCTCCCAGCTGTGTTTCCCTGAGCTGAAGCCCTCAGAGCCCAGAACTTCTGTATACTTAGTGAATCTCTCTGGATTCTCAGGAAGCTGCTGGAATGTGTCTCCACATCTCACACTGGTCAGATCATCAGACAGATAGAGAAAGTAGAATGCAGTGTTTGGGTCCAGAATGACAGGACTGAATTGTACCCGGTTCTTCATCTTCTCCCAGACTCTGAAGGACAGGTTGCCCAGGTGTTTGGCCACATCTATCAGCGCTCCTGAGACCAGCTGTGGATCTGTCAGTGAGCTCTGGACTCTGGCTCTGGTCTGAGTGGCTTTATAACTGCTGAGGAACGACACGTTGTCTTTCTGCAGGTCTTCTTCAACAGCAGAGATGCTGTCTGACAGAGAGGAGATCTGCTCCTCAATCATCTTCATCTCTCTGCTGATGGTCTTCCCCTTCTGCTCCTCTTCCTCCCTCAGAGCTGCCAGTCTGGACTCCTCTTCCTCTCTCAGGAACTGGTGGAGCTTGTTGAACTCTGCTCTGATCTTCCTCTCTGTGGACACCAGCTGCTCCTTGGAGAGTTGGATCACTTCATTGTATGTTTTCTTCACTTGTTGGTGTTTGTCCTTCTTGTCCTGCAGAGACTTCAAGTCAGATCTCAGCTGGTCCTTCAGGTTCCTGACTGCTTGTTCTAGAGGAACCACCTTGTGACTCTGGTGGAGAGAGAACTCACAGACAGGACACACAGCTTTCTGCTCGTCCTCACAGAACCAATAAGGGACTTCTGGATGTTCTTCACACACCACCTCCACCTTCTCCTTCTCTGGTTCCGTCTGAGTTGATCCATTATTCTGTCTGTCAGCAAAGGAGTCAGCGAGTCCCTTCAGTGTTAAGCTCACTGCTGGTTCATCCGTTGAGGACTTACTTTTACAGATGGGACAGTTCTTGTTTCCAGCTTGTTCCCAGAATCGCTGCAGGCAGCTTGAACAGAAGCTGTGGCTGCAGCTCAGAGACACGGGATCTCTGAAGGTCTCTGAACAAACATGGCAGCTCAGGTAACTTTCCAAAAGAATTTTTTCAGCCATTTGCTCTGAATGATCAAATCTGACTCTGAATTACAGATCTCGATGGCTGTGATCTTGTTTAGTAGAGATTTCTCACCCCGTGATGCGTCTCTGCGCTCCGTTCAGCAACGAGGAAGCAAATCAGCTTTAAGTTTCACTTTCCCTCCTTTTATTGTGTAAGCAGCCGACGTTTCCTTTGGTCACCGACAGGACGTAAAAAGGCGCGTCGTCCTCAAACGATGAAGATGAGGGTTCTTCATCGCACTCAACATTCCGTGGGTGGTGTCGGTGGGAGACGAGGCGCTTCCACCGCTTTGTTTCTATTCCACAAACAATCAGGAATCAGAAATCAGGAATCAGGAAACATTTATTAGCCAAAATATGTCAAACATACAAGGAATTTGTCTTGGCGGTTAGTGCGCGACAGTAGACAGACAAGACAACAGTGCACAAGTAATAAAATAAAGTGGAATGAAATGCTAGTGCAATGGGTTAGTAGAATAAGGCTAAGGCTATGGGTTAGTATAAAACAAGGGAATAAAGTTAAAAAATGTTAAATATTAAAAAGTTAAAGAAAAGTATTAAGCATAAAGTGCACTAACAAACAAGTAACAGACAAGAGAAAGTGACAAGTGACAAAGTGACAAGAGTCCACGTTTCCTGGAGACACTTCAAACAGCAGACTTTAGTCTCCAAATAGATTTTAGCATTCCGATTGATTTTTTTGCCGTGTTGAACAATATGTCCTATGATTTCTATCGCGACACAGAACATCATTGGTCAAGTTCTACCGTGAGTTCTATGCTTTTTAATGTAAAATACAAGCAGTAGAGGAATGTAACGTGTTTATAGTGATTGCAATTCTAGATTATATTCTATGCGTATCACCCTTTATTTTGTGAATGTATTTTTTCATTTTAAAAACCCTACAATAAATTCAAACATTCAAAAGCCATACAATCACAACGGTCGGGATTCATAATAACAACGTGATGACGTAACGTGCGTCAGCCGGAAGTGGTTCCGATTGCGGAAGTGCAGCTACAGATGCTGTAGGCGCAGCTCACCGAGGCGATTTGTTCTGGGACAGCATCTTGGTTCTTGGTGTTCAGATTCAGATGCATGCGGGTCCGTGGGAGCTTCGGGTTACAGGTCTATCAGGTAAGAACCGGGGGAAGCTGCTCAGTGGCCGTCAGCTGCTTAACCCTTTAAACTTACGACCGAGCCGTGCTAACAAGTTAGCGCAGCTAACGCGACGTCCTCTGATCCCCTTGGTGACACAGAGTTAAGTTAGAAATCATCACCATTGGAGAGGAAACATCATTCTTACGACAGCCAGAGCATGTCAGCGGCAAGGTTTATAAAATGTGATAGTAAAGTTGTCTCGCTAAAAGTGGCCCAATTCCTAATTGTAAAGTCTAATCTGCCAGTGGACCTTTTTTATGACTTCAACACGTCGGTTTTTCCAGCCGATTCTGACACGAAATGAAGTTGTACTTGTCAGATTCTAAAGAAAATATAAAGAAGTGTTGAGATCTTTTACTTACTGAAGAGTACTAACAAGTGAAAGTCCTGCATCAAAATGTTACTTAAGTTAAAGCTCGTATCCTCTAATTGTGGCATAATGAATCAAACCTATTAAGTAGTCATTGTGTGGTAACTTCTCCCTAATTGTGATTCTGAAATTGTGCTGATTTGAACTCCTTTATCTAATCATGTAATGTACTTATTCTATAAGATCATCGTCCATAGCTTTCCTCTCCTGTGAAGTACTACTGAAGTAAATGTATGATTCAGTACTGTGAATGGGTACTTTAAATGTACTTATTTACATCCCACCACTACCAGTAAGTGTGTGGAGCCCTTTCTGATCATTGGCTGTACAACCGGTAATGCTGAAAGGACTCGCAATGTATGTGTAATAAGGTTTTTATTCCTTAGTATAAAACACAAAGCAGCCATCAAGCGCCTCGGCCTTTTATCAGAGCCGCTCCTCTGGATGTACAACAGGTCTCTCTTGACTCGCGCTGAGTTCCCGTCGGCCGAGAAGCCGTCGCTGCACAATCGATAGAAGCAAGCTGACCACTAGTCGGCTGACGATGAGGCGTTCTCACATGTCTTTGTTTCATCGATGAAGATTTGAAACCTCAGGTCGTGTCAAGTGGAGCCTCACAGCAGAGTCATAGTTTATTTTTCCAAATCTAGTCAGCCAGTCATTTTCATGCTAGTTCATACAGGATGTGGTGGGATCTCTCACTCAATTGATTCATTAAAAACTAGAATAAATAATGTAGATCAAGTCGTCAGATCATCCCGTCATGGCAATATTCATTCTGAAATATAATACTTCTGGAAATATAATTGCAGATATCCCCCTTTCCTAAAAAATAAAACTGAAAACACCTTGGATGTTGTTGTGCTCTTAATTATTTGGCTATTCTAAGTATGCAATAAAAAAAAAACTGGTTTGTTTGGTCTCTCATAATCTATAATAGGATAATAATATATTAATATTATTACCGTCTATCAAAGTGTTGGTTTAGGAACCTTTAGTACTGCAGTACTTTTAGAATTTGGGTCTTAGGTGGAAGATGCTCAGCGGTCATGAAGAAAGGAAAATGTCTTTATTATTAACTGTTGTTCCACAGAACCCAAAATTCTTCCAGGGAAATCCCCCAAATCCCGAGCGCTGTAGCTGCCACCGTGCAAAAGGTTTTACAAATAAACAACGGGAAACGTTTCCTCACTCAGCCCCTTGTGGTTTGTAGCTGCGCATCTTCAGATATCCTCCATTAACTACTATATTACTTTCATATTTCATGTCTCAATTCAAACTAGGATAGTATTTGTTGAATGAAGTAGAGATTTTGAATCTTATACTTTTAGTTGTTTGAGCACATTTTGGAGTTGGCGGCATTTTGGAGATAAAAACTAAACCGACGTTCCCTGAAATGGACCTCTTAACTATGAAATAATCAAAGTTTGCGCTGCCTTTATTTACAGAAATGTATTCTGGCGCTTGAACCCCCAACAACAACAATAAAAACGTAGTGTTGCAGAAGCCTCCTGCCTGGCAGTGCGCGTGGTCCATCTCCACAGACTCCTCCTCCGTCTCGTCTCAGCCGCCGTCATGGCCGACCACAACGACACCAGCCTGCCGCCGGAGGAGCGCGTCCGCGCTCTGACCAAGAAGGGCAGCTCGGTGGAGGTCAACGAAGACGTGCCGCCGCGCCGCTACTTCCGCTCCGGGATGGAGATGATCCGCATGGCCAACATCTACGCCGACGAGGGCAACATCGAGCACGCCTTCGTCCTCTACAACAAATACATCACGTAGGTGCTCGGCTGGGTTGTATTTGGCACATTTAATGTCATTTCTTGGTCTTTGTTGTAGTCGGTTTAGCCGGTTTGAGGTTTTTGACATCAAGATGTTGTTGGTTGAAATATTAAGCGGAGAAGAAGCATGACAATTAAAACAGAAGAAGAATTTATCAATAACGAACTCAATAATAAAGTGACTAGTAAAGTGTGAGTCTATAGAAGGCTTTTAACCCTCTAATCAAGATTTGTAATTTTTTTTTTTTTTCATCAAGTCTCTTTATAGAAAAACTTCCCAGACATCGGGACTACAAGACGGCCAACATTCCCGAGAAGAAGGACACGCTAAAGGTAAGCACGCCGCGTTCATACTCTCCTGTGTAACTTGTTTTATTCGTAGTCATTTGAAGGCGAAATGTTTCTTCTGTCGTCCCCAGAAACTGAAGGACGTCGCGTTTCCTCAAGCGGAGATTCTGAAAAAAGCCCTTCTGCGCAAATTTGAGCAAGACTACGCACAGCACCTCGTGAAGAAGGTAAACGTGCTCTATGGCGGCAAATCACTGACAAATTCAAGAGCGCGTGCGTAAATCAAACATTGTCTCGCGAGAGCTTTCTCAGCTCGCAGACCGGTCCGTATTGGTAGAATGAAGTCTGAATCTGTGAATATCTTTCAATACGGATTGATTTTTGGAAAACTATGAGATAAGATATGCGCAGGCTCCTTCGTAGTTCGGTAGAGTTGGCAGGAAGCTGGACGCGTCGGTCTTAATGTGCCGGTAATGATGGTAAATAATGCGTGTAGCTGGTCTTCATCTACGCTCCACTACGGTTACATAAAGGTGTCATTTTATCTCATAATTTCGACTTTCCATCCCCTTTCTTTAGTGCAGAAATGGTCTTCTATAGTTCAGGCATGAAAACCCCTCACCTTTCGGCGAAATTCGCCGTTTTGAAACCAAAATAGGTGAATCGTGTAGATTCGATGAGGTTTCTTTTTTCTGGTACATCCAAGTTAAGTTACCCAGGAGCTTTGTTGACCTAGACTTAGCTAACGTTAGCTACAGCTTGATGAATAGAGTCATTTAACACAACGCGACGTTGGCCAGCTAGCTAAAGCTCCGGTAGCTAACGCTAGCGTTTTTGAGGAGGTAGATGGTGAGTCAATGATTCTCGAAGAATCTCTGGGACAAAACCAGTTGAAAACCGCTGCCCTGGAGGGTGAATATCCTTCTCACCTTTTTCACCCTTGACCCGTTTTCGTGCCTGATAGTTGTGTGAATGCATCACTCCAGCCAATCCAAAGACGGGGTTTGTAACCAATCAGGTGTAGAGACCATGGTGACGGGCTCCGCCCCCTTGCTGTCAAAAAGAAAAGCAGCGCGCGCGAGCAGAGATTAACCTCGTGATTTACGCTCTCGAATTTTGACCGTGATTAGTTATTTATTTTCGTTTACAGTGTTTGTTGTTCAAACCCTAAATGAGGTTAAACGTTAATAAAACCGGATACCACGTTCACAACATTTGCTCATCCACAGGTCAAAAAAACACTTTGACCTTTTTTTTTTAATAATCAAACTTGACTTAACATTGATGAATGTTGAGGAACAGTAAACGATAAAAAGCGCCTCGGCCGATGTGCCCGCTGCTCAGAGGGCGGAGCAGGAGGCGCAGGCGCGCGAGCTGTCCAAGCGGCGCGCGCTGGACGCGGAGCGGGAGCGCGTGGCCGAGATGACGCGGCGCCAGCGGGAGCAGGAGCAGTTCAGCGCCTTCGAGGAGATGATCCGCCGCCAGGAGCTGGAGAAGGAGCGCCAGCGCGTGCTCCTGGAGTTCGCCGCGCCCGCCGCGCCCACCGGCGACGCGCCGCTCCTCCCGGGCATCCAGGGACCCCCGCCGCAGGGGCCCCAGGCCGCCCCGCAGGGCCCGGGGGACCCGTCCGCCGGCAACAACAACAACCACCAACACGAGCGGCCCCCAGCGACCGCCATGCCCACCTTCGACCGGTCGCTGAAGCCCGGCGCGCTGGTCAGCCCGGGGAACAACAGTGAGTTAAGCTTTTCTTCACTGGACTTTAAACGCCACTTTTAAAGTATTTACACTCATTCCCTCCTGACCCACTTCGTCTCCCGTTTGACGTCATTCCTTGTTTTTCGGGAAATCTAACCCGCATTCGTCCGCTGCTTTTCCGCAGCCGGCATGGAGGACGCGCTGCGGCAGCTGGCCGTCCCGGCCGAGCTGTGCCGCAGCTTCCTGAGGCTGGCCGAGGCCAACACGAGCCGAGCCGTGGAGACGTGCGGCATCCTGTGTGGCAAACTGGTAAGGCTCACCCCCCCTCTCCTCCGCTTTCTGGATAGATCGGTTACAGGAGGCACCAGAAGATGCTTTTCTCCTCGTTTTGAATCCATGACCTGAGGTGGTGGGAGGAAGAAACCCCCCTTGTCCCTGGGAAACAAAGGATTTTTCTCTTGGCACGTAAGGAATGTGTATTCTGAAGCCGCGGCGTCAGCTGACCTCCCTCCCCACAGGGGGAGAACGTAATCTGTCACTTCTCTCACTACCCCGGGTCGGTTATACCATTAAGTTCACGCTCCTTTCTTTCTGTTTTTCATTTGCCCTCAGCGGTCTAGTCTAGTCAGAGTCCGCGCACCTTTTAAAGCGTGTCGTCTTTATTTCTGATTTTGCTCCAGACCAGGAATGCGTTCACCGTGACCCACGTCCTCGTGCCCAAGCAGTGTGGTGGGCCCGACTACTGCGACACGGAAAACGAGGAGGAGCTCTTCCTCATTCAGGACCAGTACGATCTCATCACGCTGGGCTGGATACACGTGAGCAAAGATGAACACACGCCATCGTCTGCTAGTCTCAGCTGCACAAATGAAACTGCAGAACAACATTACTGGAATAGAAACGTGTGTTTCTATAATGCTGTATTCCTTTCTTGAGTCTTGATGAATTTAAATTCAAATAGGAAAAACTTCCGTCCGTTATCTGAATCTCTAAGTCCATTATAATGCATTTAGAGTCAAATAGACCATGCTTTAGGGCGGGGCTTACTGTGACTGACAGGTTGCTGTTGCCAGCGACGTATTCTCTCCGTGGCGTCACTCCTCTGCCCACAGAACAAATCAGAGGCTTCGAGCCACGCTGACGACTGCGTTCACGTCTCCCACACCGTTAAACTGCTCTTGGACGTGCTGCACCACGACTTGTCCTAGTGAAATACTGCACGTCGTTATTACATTAGCAATAACACGATCGAACGGCGTTCAAGCTGCCACGTGTCCTCCGCGTGTTCCCCAGACTCACCCCACGCAGACGGCCTTCCTGTCCAGCGTCGACCTGCACACGCACTGCTCCTACCAGATGATGCTGCCGGAGGCCATCGCCATCGTCTGCTCGCCCAAGTTCAACGAGTGAGCTGCAGGTCTTTCGTCTCTTGTCGCGCGGCGCCGGTGTTTCTCCCCTCCGCGCTCATGTGTGCGCTCTGCGTTTTCGTTCCCCAGAATCGGCTACTTCCGGCTGACGGACCGAGGAACCAGCGAGATCTCCACGTGTAAACAGAAAGGCTTTCACCCGCACAGCAAAGACCCCCCCCTGTTCACGGTGAGTCCGCTCACCCTGTTTCTAACGCGGGTTCAAATCAGCCCGTTTACTTCGGTCTGGTGCCATTTGCTTGATGCTGGTGCACAATTCTTCTGATCTAATGATGATAATGAAACTGCAGTGTTCATTTTAGACCACCTCAATTAGCTTCTTTTAATGGGTCTGATCTCCCCAAATCACAGACAAAGCATATTTCGGCAAAAAACGCATTCATTTGTGGACGTATTGGCTAAATAACTGATTTTCTTTCCACAGCACGCGGGTCACATCAACATCACCGACGACACCGTGGCCGTGATGGACCTGCGGTGATTTTCCTTCCTTTCGTTTCTTTCACCGGAACACTTGGAGTTTTTTTTCCAAAGCGGGACGTTTCACTGGAGAAAACCCTCACCTTACGGCGAGGACGGTACGGAGCGACTCTTTCTACAGACTTGACTTGTTCTCTGAGGGAGCAACCGCGTGAACCTTTTTTATTTTTTTTTTATTTCGCTCCGTAAGAAAAGAAATATCACATTATTGCACTTTCCGAGCAAACTACTTCTACCCAAACCTCCGGCTCTTCGAACCCCTCCGTTTCTGTCTCATCGTTCTCTCCTTCGTTACCGTTCAGCTATTCGCCTTTTTGTCATTAACAAAATAACTGTGTGTTCGTCGGTGTCTGGTAACCCAAATGTTTGTTCATCAGAGGTCTGTTCTACAGATGAAAGTGCCAAGGACGAGAACGCTGCGTGAAGTTCAGTGTGAGGTCGGTTGCCTCTCTGTCGTTGGGTGTGTGTTGTTGCAGCGATGGGAGAGATGAAGGCCAGTTGTGACTCAGGTGTGCAGGCAGCCTCGCTGCTCTGTGTTATATATTTATGAGCAACATCCGTCACTTCATCTACAAAGAGCTTTGTGTATTCCTGCTTATGAGGATTCCACCTTTTTATATGTTTTTACTCCCTTGTTCTCTGATTATGTTAAGGTGGTGGTGGGGGGGGTGAGATCAACCTGAATGTACCTTCTGCTCCACGTTAACAGGCGACACTAACAACCCCAGACCGGATCACGCCTCGGTTCTTTGTTCGCTCCCTTCTGCTTGTTAGAAGTGAACAACTAGCCATAACTTCCAATGATTTAATACTAAATTGAAATAAAGTCATTGTAGATGAATTCATTCTGCATGGTTTGGTTTGTTGTGATGGTCCAGAAAAGGGCTTTGACTCGCAGCTTGGTTACAGAGGTAATCATCTACAGAATATGCATGGAGCCGCTCCCTCGTGCACGCACGACCTCTCTGTGACCCCCCCCCCAGCAGCGGAGTAGCCAGGTCACTTTGTCAGGTCTTAAGCCTGAACACTTTTTGAGTGTAATATAATTCTCAATGTAAGCCAGTACAGCTTGGCTAAAAATAAATGTGTTTGTGTGAATGCTGTCACGTTTGTGACGTGATCGACTGTCAAATGAAATGCAGGTTTTAAAACCAGCTGCTTGTGCAGGCAGCTCGTGAAATCACTGCTGAGTGATTCAAAGCGGGAAGAGTCCTGGAGAAATGTCTCAGTGTAATCCGTGTGATGAATCATGCTGTGTGAGTTTATTTCAACAAACTTACAGCATTACAGATTACACATTACAGCCTGGCAAAAATAATTCTGTTTGCTATTGATGAAAACCGCACGAACGAGCACGATTTGACAACTAATATTATCCATTTAATGCTCTTAAAACATTTTTCTTTGCTGGTGTTCACATCAAAGATGTCTGTTTTAGTGTGCCCACAAATCTTTTAATGATGATGTCATGGAAAAGAAATATATGGTGTGTGTGTATATATATAATCATTTTTGTCATACATTTATTTATACATTTTATTAATATTTCTACATTTGTCAAAATTGTTTTTGACCTAATATTTATTTACTTTTCCCCCATGAAGTTTTTTTTCAATGACATTTTTCAAACTAATACATTTTACTTTTTTTCGTGGCATTTGTTGATGACATAATCTTTTACTTATTTTTCAAAACATTTTGTTATTTCGAAAAAAATGCTATGTTGAAAATAAAATATTAAATATTAAGTCAAAAATGGTTTTGAAAAAAAAAGGTAAATATGTTGGGTGAAAGTATAAAGGGCCGAGGAATATGCAGAATAAATGCAATAAGCTTTAAGGGGATGTTCAAATACGTTAAGATCATCAAAAATATACTATCCAAGAATAAATACAAGGCAAAGCTGTAAGCAAACACAAATGCCGCACACTTCATATGAGTGAGCCAATGGTACAGAAATGTTGGGTTTTCTAAAAGGAAAAACAGGCCCAACGTGGGAGAATGTCCTCGTTCGTTCTCCGTCCTCCCAGCAGGGGGCGGTAGAGTGCTGCCCCTATAAGTAGTTTGCCGTTAATGACGTTGACGTAGAAGAACGTAAACAGGAAGTAACAACCAGGCGAACGCGAGCAGTGTTGTTGACGTTGCTCCGTCGTGTTTTACCTCAATAATAGTTGAGATCTACACAAACAGTCAAAATGGGGAAACGCCAGCATCAAAAAGATAAAATGTAAGCACGCTTTGTGAAGACGCTACACTCATCACGTACTTGTTGTTAGCTTAGCTAATTAGCTTAAAGATATCGCTAACGAGCTAGCTAGCTAACCTATAGTATTAATAGCTTATTTCTGGCATTAGTTTACTGTTAACGTTAGGTTTAATTTTAATTAAGTCCACTCCTTTGTCTTTCCTGCTATTTTGTGTTTTTTCCCACCTTTTAGGTACATCACATGTTCAGAGTACACACACTTTTATGGAGGAAAGCGAACAGGTGAGATGAATCGTATACAGCGTTAGTTCAACGCGATCTGTTCCAAACAAAAGACGTGTGTCTTAACGTTAGTTATGAAGTTATAGTTGCCATGTGGTCTTTTATGTTATACTCGTGCTGAAAGAACTGTTTAAACCGTTTAGGTTAGAGGTTTATATTACTACAAGTAAACGTACTGCATTAAAAATCTTGCTAAACGTCAAGTAAAAGCACAAAGGTAACTGTTATTAGCCAGTGTATCCCGAGATTATAGTTAATAATGCATTCTTACGTTCATCACATTAATGTTTAAGCAAATATTATTTTCTATTGCTTGATCGTTAAGTCTGACACCTTGTTAAAATAGACAATAAGCAAAGATTTTTAAAAATGTAATCTTGATTTGTTTGTCAGAAAGGTCTTCTGTTCCATTCTCCTATTCTGTTAATAACCGTGTGACCACTTGTTGGTGTCTCACACCTCATGTTGGAAACCACTGTATTTGCATTAGTTTTGGCTCGTTGTTTGGCTTATGACACTATTTACTACCACACCGAATTTAGTAGAAGCTTAAAACTGTTACAACCCAGAATCTCCACCACTGTTTTTTAGGAATAAACGTGTGGTTTTCGAAAGTGTCTTTAAATATGAATTGGACAGACTGAATTTAACGCCGTTTTGCTTTTCAGAAATCCCACAATCAGACTTCAGACGGCTTCCATTTGACCACTGCAGGTAAGAAGAGACGTTCAGCAGAGATACAAGTTTGCTTTTGGACCAATAACAACAATCTGGCCACACTGGTCCGCCAGCAGTGGAGGTTCCCTTTATAGCAATTATTGACAAGATCAGGAATTTTATGCAATAAAATCTGTTTTTTTATGAAACATTTCAGTCTGTCCCTGCAGCCGTTTGAGTATCCTGTCTGTACTGATGAGGGAGTGATCTTTGACCTGCTGTAAGTAGATGATTCTTATAAAAACAGAATCGTTATCGATCGATTGTTTTGTTTGTTGCATGATATGTCCGTCACTTCAACACTGATTCAGATTAAGATATCTGTCAGTAACTATTGACACACGGAAGCTCTCGGTAATCCTTCAAGCTATGTGTTTTTTATTGTTGGTGCCACACTAAGGGCAATACAATAGCAAAGTGTTAAAGATCAATTATGACATGAAGATGTATCATATTGTGTGCTGTGATTACTTTTACCGTGACCTTTTTTAAACAAAGATTTCTTCATTTGTACCTTGTGTTTAGGAGCATTGTGCCGTGGATCAAGAGATATGGTACTAATCCGATCTCTGGAGAGGTGAGCAAACAACACGCATCAAGCGAGGCCGCTTCCTAGTAGGAGTTTATTTGTTAGGGACCGTTTACAAAAGAAAAAAGTTCAGCTCATACAGAGAAGAACGCCAGTGTAGGTTTAGCTACGAGCTTCTTCTCAGCAGTTTATTCTCTAGAGAATAAAGACCCATAATTATAATGAATTAATCAAAGCTCCCTTATCAAGTAGAATTTGTAAAATATATTGATTCCATCTTCTTAAATGTGACTGTTTGTTGCTTACAATTAAGAAATTAATTAGATAATAATTAAAGATTTCAAAGTGTTGATCTTATTCATTTGTTTCAGCCATACATAAAAAGTTTGACATTTAAATTTCCAAATATTTTATATTTGTCCTTCAAAACACTAACTTTAGAGGCCACGCTATTTAGTATTCACCATAAGTATTTGTTTGGAACTGTTATATATTCATAATTGAACAGCTGAATGTAAAATATTGCTTTTTAGGGAAAACAAATTGCCCATTCTGTTCTGATTTTATGCTGTTTTTCCTTTCTCATAGAAAATGGAAATAAAGTCCCTCATCAAACTCAACATGGCCAAGAACAATGATGGTAAAAAGATATGCATGTTGTTAATTTACTGTTAAACGATTAATCTAGAAACTAGTGAGTCGTTACAGCATCATTTTCATTATTTGAATCCCTGAAATCAGCCAGTAGTTTGAAATAAAAAGGTCAAAGCTGCTTTTATGTGTGTGAGTGGGGGGCTGAATAAAGACCCAAAGGATCGTTTTGGGGGTCAGAACCCACTGAAGCAGGTGTTCAGGGATGAAGTGGAAAGGGGCCGTATAACTCTGCAGCGTTGTTTCTCATTCCTTTTCTCTTCCTTGCAGGGAAGTATCACTGCCCCGTTCTGTACAACGTCTTCACAAACAACTCCCACTTCGTGGCCAACAAGGTCACCGGCAACGTGTTTTCTTATGAGGTTTGTGCATTCAATGCTTTTGCTGCACTGATCCTCACTCAAATACTTTGGTCACACGGATCCATGTCTATATTTACAACCCGCACACAGATGTTATTGATTTGATGTCGGTGTGATCAGCCCACGTGGTCTCCCATGATGCCGCCTGACGTCACCCTGAATTAAAACCTAAACAGGAGGACGAGTTTTTCCGATTCTCTGGACAAATATTGACCATTCATTCAATCACACAATTCGTAAATCTTTGTTCCCACGCAGGCTGTTGACCAACTGAACATTAAGACCAAAAGTTTCAAAGATCTGCTGAGCGACGAACCCTTCACCAGGAAGGACATCATCGTACTCCAGGTGGGTTGTTGCTTTGTTTCGGCTTAAAAGCACATTATTTTATACATGTAAATTCAACTTTATCGTTCTGTTTTTCCTTTGCAGGATCCCACAAACCTGGATAAATTCAATGTTTCCAGCTTCTTCCACGTAAAAAACAACCTGAAGCTGTTGGATCCAGGTGGGTTGTGATGGGGGGAGTCGGCCCTTCTTTACGAAAGTCTAATCAATCGGGGTAGAACTTCTTCATCTAACGTGAAAGCACCTCCGTTAAAACCGCTTTCCTCCCTCTCGCTTCGGTTTCCGCGCCGCGTTTCAGATGAGGAGAAGGCCAAGCTGGACCCGGCGTACCACCTGAAGACCACCAACCTGGAGACCAGGGAGACCTTAGCCGAGCTGTACAAAGACTACAAGGGGGATAAGCTCCTGGCTTCCACGATGAAGGAGCCGGCCGCCAAGAAGACGGACAAACTGAACGCCGTAAGCAACAACATCTAAAAGTTATTTCAAAATCCAGTCGTACAAGAGGAGGAGCGAGAAAGAAAGTCGTCATTCTGTTACATTATAGGTGCTTCCATAATATTTAGCATCTTTCAATACATAGCACGTCAAGTTCAAGGTGCCTTGTTATGAGGAAGTAGGACGTCCCGACACTTCATACTCACTAAGAGCACCTGCAGTATAGTTAACAAAAAAACAAAACTCTAATTTCATCACAGCTGTAGACTTTCTTTTTTGAAAGAAATGATTAAATTCTTCAGCTGTGCTGCT